ATAGTCCGAGTCCATAATTGGCAATAAGTAATGGAAAAGCAGTTATAAGTGACTCAGAATTGTACGCAGTTGCGTATACAGTACACGACTTCCCTGTAGGCAAACCTCCAGCGAGCGTGATGCCGATCACACAACGCGTTTCGAATTCGACCCTCAATCGATGGCTGCGCCATCGCCGCACACGCGTCGAATAAAAAGCAAGGGACAAGTCCTTACTAACTCCTATAATTTTTCATTGCTGGAGGGGTTGCCCCCCCTACCTGAAAAAACTGGCTCCGCCATTGGGAGCACCACGCCCCCCCCCCCCCCGTCATTAACATTCATGAGCGGGTGGATTTTTACACTCACGCAGGAGGTCGAGCGGAATTTTTTTTCGCAAATTCATTTTAAGTTTGACGTTTCTTTATTGAAAGTTAATCTAATAAATAATTATACGCAGCAACAAAGTGGATTTGGTGTCTTTTTTATTTCTTCAGCACTTGAGACAAAAGGTAAGTCTAATTTATGCTTCTACATTATGGTAAAATAGACATTTCTCGGTGATTTTCCAGATATTGTATCGAATTCCAATTTATTTCAACCCCAGCGACTGAAAGCAGAAGAGAATAAAGTATCAGAGCAGTGAATTTGAACAAATTGAAGGTCAGTTATATACAGTGCTAAAGTGACATGAAGTGAGGTGTTTTATGACGTAGTTTCGTGCAAGAATCACTGCTTTTCTAGATTTAAAGCTTTCGTGACTGCTAGGATCCATACTCTTTGGTTCTATTGGGTAAAGTCACGTAGGTGAAAATAAAATAACAAAAAATCACGACGTTTCGGCCACAACACAAGCGGCCTTCATCAGGTGAAGGGACGAGACTGTCTGGAGGACAGCGCTGGAGTGGGAGAAGCCACGCTTAGATCACGACCTTTAAGCTGTGTGAGAAGAAAAACACCAAGCACCTTGACAAAGGAATTAGCATATAATTTAGCATTGAAATGGCTCATTGAAATAGCTAAGTTAAAGTATACACATCCGCAGAGGTACCCCTTGACAAAGGAATTAGCATAGAATTTAGCATTGAAATAGCTGAGTGATTAGCTTGTAACTGTTCACAGAAATAGCTATGTTAAAGTTAGAGCATATACATTCACCGAGGCACCTAGTACTCATCAAACAGGGGAATTTAGCGAAACACAACCACGCTCAGACAGCGGACCTTTAAACTGTGTGCGAGCAAACAGGGTGTTCTGACAAAGAAATTAGCATAAAAATTAGCATTTGATTGGCGGATTTTAGGAAAGAGGTGGTGTACGTGCCGTTTGGCGCCGGGGGGGGGGGGGGAAGGGGGGGAGGGGGAGTTTACCTATTGATGGTGTGAAAAGTGGAATTTATAAGAGCTGCAAAAGTTTGGGGTACCACTACTTGAAAAAATATACTGTACCATTGATATTAGTTTAATGTTTAGTTCGATTTAGAACATCTTTCCAATGGTTGCTTAATTTGAAACCATCCTCTCGGTTGAAATTGTGTCTGTGTTTGTAGATCTGAATTGCTTCATGAACAAATCTCTGATAAAAGCCCGTGGGTTTGCAAAGAACCTTGGTATCGGAGAAAATTATATCGTGATCCCCCACAGCGTTGTAACAGTGATCAGCCACGGCAGAAGAATTCGTTTTGCCGTGTTTCAAATCTGATTTGTGCTCGCGAATTCGGTCAGAGACATGTCGCTTTGTCTCACCGATATAGCAATCACCGCAGGTACAACTCAATTTGTAAACCCCGGGGTACTGTAAATCAGGAATGACATCCTTCACGGATGGGATCAGATCACGAATTGTGTACTGTATTGAACCGGACCTGGATCTTGTGTTTGTTTAGAATTTTGGAAATCTTTTTAGTAACGCCTGCTATAAATGGAAGTGTGATGGTTTTGACCGGAGTATCAAGTGGTTGTTTCTGTATGGAGGGAGAGACAGCTTTGCGGATGGTACGGTCAGAGTAACCATAACAAAACTAGATGTTAACAAAATCGTCATTAATCAGAGTAGCACCCCGATTTCGGACAATCTGAAAACAGTACTGGCTAGGGGACTCAATTTTGCTGTCACCCCAAAACACATACCAATAGATGATATCATCTCTCAGGTCGATGTAGCCCTCAAAGGCATAGGACACATCCAAGCAGACGTTGCGAGAGCTGAAATAGCCACTATTCTTAAGAATGCTAAGAAACCCATTAGTAACATCAGCAAAAATGAACGCTCTGAACTCGCACATTTAAAAAACAGAAGTGATATAGTCATCCTCTCAGCCGATAAAGGCAACGCAACTGTTATTATGGATAAAGATTCATACAACAACAAATCCAGAATCTGCTCAACGATGGAAGTTACTCAAAAATAAAAAATGACCCTACTAATAGCCTAGCGATAAAAACCAACAAGATCATCACAAGTTCGACCTCCCTAATCGACCCAACTAAACGTCCCTCCCTAAAACCTTCTGCTGCAAGACCCCCTAGATTCTATGGTCTTCCCAAGATTCATAAAGGCACCCCACTTCGACCCATCGTATCCACGATCAACTCCCCTACCTATAGACTAGCCCGTTTTCTGTCAGATACCTTGCTGCCTTTCACTGGCAAGACCGCCTCAGCAGTACTTAACTCAGCCCAATTGGTCTCTATGGTCAAAGACGTTGTACTGTCCCCTGACGATATCCTTGTCAGCTTCGATGTGGTCTCTTTGTTCACCAAGGTCCCAGTACCTGATACCATTGAAATAATTGAAAATTTGGTCCAACATGGACTAGACCCCGACACACCATGCTAATTTCTTTGTCAGAACACCCTGTTTGCTCGCACACAGTTTAAAGGTCCACTGTCTGAGCGTGGTTGTGTTTCGCTAAATTCTCCTGTTTGATGAGTACTAGGTGCCTCGGTGAATGTATATGCTCTAACTTTAACATAGCTATTTCTGTGAACAGTTACAAGCTAATCACTCAGCTATTTCAATGCTAAATTCTATGCTAATTCCTTTGTCAAGGGGTACCTCTGCGGATGTGTATACTTTAACTTAGCTATTTCAATGAGCCATTTCAATGCTAAATTATATGCTAATTCCTTTGTCAAGGTGCTTGGTGTTTTTCTTCTCACACAGCTTAAAAGTCGTGATCTAAGCGTGGCTTCTCCCACTCCAGCGCTGTCCTCCAGACAGTCTCGTCCCTTCACCTGATGAAGGCCGCTTGTGTTGTGGCCGAAACGTCGTGATTTTTGTTATTTTATTTTCACCTACGTGACTTTACCCAATAGAACCAAAGAGTAATCACTGCTTTAATGCAGTGCTACAGTGAACTGCAGTGAAGTGTTTGAGGACATACTTTTGTGCAAGATTCACTGCCATTAAATTTACACAAGATACAATTATACTCTGCTCATTTTTTTCGTAAATATTACAGCTTCCGTCCTTAGACGGGCAAACAAGCAAGTGCATATGATGTTGTCAGCCAATTAATTAATTAATGTTTACATGTGGGAGGAAACTTCAGCACCCAAAGATAACCCACAAATATGAGGGGGTAACTCTCTATCCCATACATACAGATGGTACAGGTGGAGTCCACATTATTGCTGTACCAACTTCTCCTAGCAAGCCAGGGTATGACTCCTCCTCAACACCCACGGGAAGGGATTGTGAATAACATATGTGCATATTCTTAGAATATGAATTACTGCAGTCACGAAAGCTTTAAATCAAAATTTAACATATGTGCAACCTACCAACCATCAGCGCCTCCACGGTGCTGGACTAGAGGCCACGTGCATTGCCGCCACCCGCGAATGATTTTACGTAAGGCTGGCTTCTCACATAAAATGTGACAATGGTATTCTGAGTGTGGCGCCCTGCCTGTCCAGTTCCTCGATCCGATGGCCCCAATGTACAGACCTTAAAAAGGCGACCTGACCATCACGCTTAGCCATTGTAAAACCATTAATCTGCTTGGCACAGGAATCCCATCTGGGCTGTGTTATGGAACGGCTGCTACCTCAGGAGGCAATTAGGTAGTTCTGCAAAGCCTTAACTCCAAACAATGATTATACTACTCTGTAAGCCAATTATTACTGCTACACAAAGTAAACATTTGACCAAAGGTGGAATCACGTTGTTACATCTCGGGTGGAGCACCCAGTTGCCTACTTCACCACACCGGATCCGCATCAAGAGTGAAGCGGTAATCAAGGTGATGGAAGCTCCACCACCATTCACCAAGCCACTCGCTCACCCGCAGGAATTTCGCCTCCTTGTCACTCTCAAATCGCTACTACTCATATGGTTCCTATGCCCATGAACGTCACTCGTTGATTCCTCCTCCACCAAGTTCTCATCCACACCTGCAACAATCGTATAGGTCACAGCAACACATTCACCTACTAAACTCTTTATAACTAGAACACGTTTGCAAAGCGCTAACTTGATGGGTAATTGGTATTTTAAATGTGATTGTCATATGAAGTAAAATGTTTAAAACTTGGCAATGACTATAAATATTAGTGCAGATATTTAAGTAAATTGAGGAAAAATAACCACGATATTTTACAACACTAACGATACGATTATCGTAGGATACACAGTAACTTATTATCGTAACACCGCGGCAGGCCTCACGACTCAGTGCGATGCTATCCCACGAGCATTGTCGATACTCTCGATCCTCTCCTGTTCACAGCCCTGCAGAGCCAGTGGTGGAATGTCCTCCTTATGACGGGGTCGAGTCTCTCAACATGGCAACAGCTGCTGACTTCCCCACAGGAATGGTATTCGTTGTATCGACCCCGGAGGGATGATTTAAACTAGCTATCTCCGTTTCGGAATCAGAATGTATTATATACTGGAGGAATCCGGGAGCTCGATCTCGCGCTGAGCCACCCGGCCGACAACACGTCAAGCCGTGTTGTACAGACTCCTGTTAATATACAACATGAGGACACACTCCCGTATTATGATTAATAAGATACCTTGGGTGTCTTAGTTGTGAATCGTCATTGAACTCACGTGTACGAACGACTCTTTTTATCACCTGGATCAACCGTCACACCATGTTACACTTCGATCTTTAACGGTTACTGAATTGAGCATTGGAACAAGTGCACCTGCGGGCACAAGTAAAACACGTGGCTGATTTTTTTTGAAGTCGTTATCTCGGCTTCTCCGGTTTGTTAAGAGCCACTTATAAACAACGAGCCGAATCACAAGGATACTCGACAGCCTCTGACGGACCGGACCCCGAGCAAAGACATAACCCCCACGTAAACGCGTGACGTGCGCCGCACTTCCCTACCCAACATGGTTGCCGCTCCTCACAACCCACGCCAGTAACGCAAACGCGACGCCATCTTGGGTAGGGAACACAATTGGGGTAGGCGCAGCACGAGCCGGAATCTTCCGGGTATTTTTTAGCGGCGAGGTCGCGCGCTGATGATGTCACAGCGATGGCTGTCCCTGCCAAATATGGCCGCTGCCGTACAGTGCGGCCCCACGTGCGTGTACAGTACGTGTGCTTGGAGTCAATCGGTGCCTCGTGCGGTCTGGACGGGCTTGTGAGGGTGATTTCACCGAACAGAGTGGAACAATGCCGTTGAATTTCTATTTAAAGCTTTCGTGACTGCAGGAAATCATCTTCTTTGGTTCTTTCGGTAAAGTCACGTAGAATGAGAATAAAATAAAAAGAAGACAATAAAATTCTCACGACGTTTCGGCAACACAAGCGACCTTCTTCAGGTGAAAGAACAGAACATTGAAGCACTGTCGTCCCGACAGTTCTGTTCTTTCACCTGAAGAAGGCCGCTTGTGTTGTGGCCGAAACGTCGTGAGAATTTTATTGTCTTATTTTTATTTTATTATTTTATTCTCATTCTACGTGACTTTACCGAAAGAACCAAATAAAATGCCGTTGAATGTTCAGAATAAACACATCATTGGAGATCCAAACATTATGGCTTTGATATTCCTCCTTGAAGATACTGGTGTAACCATTAACCGCATAGGAACATCAAAAGGCCGATGCACGCATCTTCATAAATGGGAAATAAAGACAAGCTGCAGTCGTGAGATTGTGGCCACGCAACGCAAACTATGGACCATCCAAATAGTAAACCCTGTGAGACAAAGAGATGCAGTCTCACAAGGGGCCGTCCATAAATGACGTCACGCGATTTTGGCCGATTTTTGACCCCTCTCCCCCTCGTCACACGGCGTCACAAAAAGTCAGACTCCCTCAAATATGACGTCACAAAGCTATGCCCCCCCCCAACCATATTTCCATTTTGAAAATAAAACATGCTTCAAATCACTTTAAACTATTGTCATTGTAGTGCGTATTTAATGTGGCGCTGCACTCTGATGTTGTAGAAGAAAACATTAAAAAGGCGTTGGAAAGCTGAAATTTAGCATAAAATTAACTTGAAAATATTCAACGTCTAACTAAAATTGCAGATGTTCAGAATATTATATTTAAATTATCTTATAATTATGTAATATTAAAAGTAATTATAACTATAAAAAATACTTGAAACTTTGTAGTAGAACGAAGCAAATTGGAAATTACAATTATTACAATCATTCATTCCACAGACTGAAAAGCCCTGGTAGAATCATTAAAATCAAAATGTTTAATAATAATAAAAAAAATCTATGCTTCTCAATTCTCCCATGGAGAAGCAAAATTATCCTTCATGGAATAAATAAACGGTGACCTTAGTCAAGTTAAATAATAAAATAGTTAATAATGAAAACTAATAAAAAAAATAGTGTTATAACAATTATTCAATTCAGTAGAACGTATTTATATTTAAAGTTGCGCATTTTGAGGTGACGTCACATTTCTCAAACCCCTCCCTCTCCCTCTCGTCACACATCGTCACAAATGTCTGACCCCCTTCCCCCCCTAGGTGCGTGACGTCATTTATTGACGGCCCCTAAAATATTAATTGAGAAACAAAGCTATATAGAGACGACAGAAACCCAGACACATTAAAAACAAGCCACAGCAGTGCGATTGTAGGCATGCGACCCAAACTACGAAGAGCAAAACAACAAAGTCTCCTAAGCGCTCTCATGGCGAGCAGACTTCCACATTGGCATTTAGCTCCTTAAGTCAAGTAAGCTTTATTGATCACATACCCATGCATACATGAGGTACATTGCAGTGAGATTATCTGTTCCCGTGTCGCTCTCAACTTGTGCAAATTAACAACAATACAAACAGCAGCAACAATATTTAATAATATATTTTAAAAATGTTTAAAAAAATATTAAAATCGCTGTGCAGATTATAAAAGTGACATGTGCATAGCAGAAATAGGGTCCCCCTACGGGTGAACTTCATAAATGATCTTGTTATGCGAAATGTTCTTGTTTGGTTACTGTCTTGTGCAGTCGGTGGGGGGGGGGGGGTGTAAATGGGGGTAGGGGGTAGCAAAATCAGGGTTGGTGGGGCTTGGGCAGATATTGCACGGGGCTCTGCTCAGCTCAGCATCCGGATGGCCTGGGGATAGAAGCTGTCCCCCCTGAGGTGGTTGGCGGTAGGCGCAATGCTGATGTAGCCGGGCTTCCTCTTGCATTGTTTCCTGATGAAAAGGCCATGGCCCGGGTGGCTGGAATCGGCAAGGATCATTTGGGCCTTCGTGATGCACCTCTTGGTGTATAGGTCTCTCAGGGTGGGCAGCGGACTGCATCACCCTCTGAAGCCTCTGCCGGTCCCGTTCAGTGCAGTTACCATGCCAGATGGTTATGCAGCCAGTCAAGATACTCTCAATGGTGCACCTCAGCCTTTTGAGGTTATAAAGGCGCTGCTGGGACTTCTTCACCAGTGTTTCCTCGTGCCGGGACCAATTCAGGTCCTCTGAGATGTGAACTCTGAGGAACCTGAAGCTGTTGACCCGCTTCACTGAGGCCCCGTTGATGGTTAGTGGCACCTGCTTACCCCTCTTCCTAAATTCCAGAATCAGCTCCTTAGTTTTGCCGACATTGAGCTCAAGGTTGTTCCCTTGACACCACGTTGAGAGTGCCGTCACCTCATCCTTATGATGGCGTTGGAGCTGTACCTGGCTGTGTACAATCGATAGTGTAGATGGAGTACAGGAGGGGGCTAAGCACACATCCTTGGGGGGGCACCTATGTTGACGGTCAGGTAAGATGAGATGTTTTGCTTACCTTTACTGCCTGAGGTCTTCCCGTTACAAAGTCCAGCATCCAACTGCAGAGGGTGGCGTTCACACCCAATGCCTCCAGTTTGGAGATTAGGATGGAGGGCACTATGGTATTGAATGCTGAGCTGTTATCGATAAACAGCATTCTCGCATAGTTACCCTGCTTCACCCCCAGGCGGGACAGTGCCTGATGCAATGTGTAGTGGATTCAACTGAGTCGCAGATGTACTCTTGGAGGCAACAACACAGGGATAACTGCCCCTTAACAGAATAACAACCTATGGTGGTGACCACCAGACTAACTACACTAATTACAACGTAACTGCTACTACGAACCAGACCACAGCTCGGGTCCAGGTCCACGTGTTGAAGACTTGGTAGAACGTAGGACACAGACGAAGGTTTCTTCAGGATGAACAACGCACTGGTCCCTCTGGGGGACCCGGCTTATATCCTCTACAACGCGGCTGGCTCCGCCCTTGGCCACGGCCACCTTCCAGAATCCTCGAGCAGGATCTGGCCCCCGACCACGTGACCACCCCTAGCCCCCACTTGGGGCCCCTTTGTAGACTTAACTGGTCACGTGTCCTCTTGGGTCAACCAGAGTGCCAGCAGTCCCACACCCTATCCTGTAGGGGCCGGCACTGCACGCCAAGCGTGGTGCCATCCAGCGCTATCGATCAACGTTCACCGAGCACTACTAGGGCCGGTACTACACCCATACCATTGTGGTGTCTGTGATGTTGTTACATCGCACGCCGTGCCTCTCTAGGGCCGGCACAGGACAATGACATTCCGCGATGTCACTACAAATGTAATAGCAATAGCTTCATCCGTGGACCTTTTAGTGCGATACACAAACTGCAGGGGGTCCAGTGTATCTGGTAGGATGGAACAGATGTGTTTCTTCATTGCGGTTTTGAAGCACTTCATGATGATGATGTTGGTGAGCGCTACGGGTCAATAGTTATTAAGGCACGTAATTTTGGCCTTTTTAGGGACCAGAATGACCGTAGACGTTTTGAAGCATGTTTGAACAACAGCCTGGGCGAGGGAAAGGTTGAAGATGTTTGTTAATGCAGGGGCCAGCTGGGGTGAGCATGCCCTGAAGACACGCTCTGGTATCCCGTCTGGGCCGGCTGCCTTGTGTATGTCAACCTGCCGGATGATCTTTGTCACCTCGGCTCTGTTGAGCCTAAGGATGCCTGCAGGAGAGCTGTGGTCGGTGCGATGGGGGGAAGATGGAGGTGGGGAACATAGGGGGAGGCAGGGGGACTGTGGAGCTGGGGGTGCAGGGACAGCTGTGTTTGCCTCAAACTGTCCGTAGAAGGTGTTGAGCTGGTCGGAGAGGGAGGCGTGGTTGATTGCCTCGCAGCTTATTGGCCCTTTGTAGTCTGTGATGGATTGTAACATATTGCTACTTCCATCATGTGCAAAAATATATACATAGCCTTGACCATACTTCACGGTGGTCAGTGCGCATTGGGTGTATAGTTGGGTAAATCAGTCGGTAAAGCAAGTTGCATGTGGTGGAGTAAAATGTGGGTAACATTTTTTTAGATAAGGAGGATCTCCCAGATTGTATAATTGATGTAATTTACTCAATGCGCGTTACAGTATGGCATATAGAGAGTGTGGGGCCCGACGTCCACCCCGCCGCCCTTGCTAGGCAGGTGGGGCGCGACGTCCACCCATTCCGCTTTCTCTTCCACCGCGTTAGTCGGCTCCTGCCGGGTCCCCACTGACCGAGTGATCGGGCCCCCCACGTTAGCGCCCTCTCTGAGCGACATACTCGTGCTGCTGGCTCGTAGCCACATGGAGTTGAACCACACACCCGCGCACACCACAGCTATCGCTAACGCAGGGGGGGTACGCACACGCCCGCACCTTGGGCGATTACCTCTTAACGCACGCCCGTGCACACCGCAGCTATTGTTAATACAGAGGGCGCAAACGCGCTCGCACCTCCGGGCAATTATCTCTTAACGCGCACACGCTGCGGCTCAGCGTTCACTCTCGCCGCACGTTCCCCCAAGCAGTCGCTCCACACACAAATCACAGACACCACACCTATGCTCTGTGCTAACTTTTATTGTTGGCGCAAACCCCGCCCTACCCGGGGGGAAATATGTTACGAGAAGAGCCTAGCCTACTGCTGCCCAAGTCCACAGATACTCAAACGCCCTAGCACGTACCCCGTAGCTTGTACTCACGGCGTCGCACAGACGCTGTGAGAGTCAGAGGGAGGAGGACGAAAAAAGCTATGCCTACCACTGCCTCATGGCGGCACTCGCTGGCATCACACGGATGCTGCGAGCGGCTCGAGCAGGCAGGGAGTGGGTCTTGGCGGCCAAGAGGTTGAAGGTCTCTTTTGAATGAACCCCAGGCTCCCCCTTTATCTTCCGGACTTCAAAATTCTGGGATCGCGTTGTACCGCAATGACCAATCGTGCGCCAACCTGTGATTACCGCCCGTTTTTTTTGTCCTTACATGTAGAATTGGCGCTGGTACTTCCCTATCCATTGCCTGTCCGTCCTTACTCATTAGTTTATTACTCACCCTTGTTAATCCGGAATGATGCCCGACTGGCAAATACACACCCTGCGAGTGTGTATTCGGTATGGGGGTCAGGGGAGGTCGTGGCGCTGCAATCCCCTGACCTCATGGTCTGCCCTTCTCGCTTAATATTGCACCCCAGCCCCTCCTGATGTCGTGAATGACTCGTTGCGGCTGGCCCGGTGAACCTTTTTGCGCCCATACAATATTAAGCCAACTCAGGGGCACCGCAATGTAACCTGTCCTGCGAGGGTCGTCAAATCTCCTGGCACCGGGAAACCATGGGACTTTCCTCCTAGGGACCCTTCGGATTAAAACCCGTTGTGCCAGGAAATCCCCCACCAGGACACTACGTGTGTGTGCTGTGTGTGTGTGCTCAGTGTGGGGGCCTAGAGGGAGTAAATAAAAATACAAATCACGAGTCAGGAAAAGAGATATGGAATATATCTTTTATTGGAAGAAAATATTTAAATACATCACCATCAACATTGGTATTTATAAAGCAGTCCAAGATACCAGAAACATCCCACAACCCAATGTACAGCAGCTGGTAAATATCACAGATATCGGGAGCATAACCGCAACATGGAAACCATTTCAACAATCGTAAAGCAATAAACAAAACCGGTGTTACTCGAGATAATTCTGGTTGTTCAAGGTATTTGAGTAAGCTAAAAGATGCCGACCGACATTGTCACAAACAATAACAAACAGTACGCATCGCAGAAAATATCTAAGATAAACAATGGTATTTTCCTTTGCATCTGCAACGGAAAGTCACACACTTTTGAATGTGCAAGTGAATAACGATGATACAAATGCATTCACTTTGTATAATTTAATGAACATTCATCGGTACTGTACATTACATCAACGATGTAAAAAATACTCCATTCACAGTGAAGTTTAATGAACGTTTTAGCGCAAATATTTATGGCCACAATCTTGCAAGGTTCTGTCAACTGTAGCAGAATAAAGCAAGCGGTGCTGAGGGATGGTGGCAGAAACATTGACAGTGTCAAAATCAGACACTCTCAACCCCCTGCACTTAATTTAAATGTATCAGAGGTTTTTATTTTACTTTCAGTTTTTTCCCTATGAGCTGTAACTGAAGTTGAACGTGGAAGAAAGTGTTTATGCCAGCGGTTCTGGTAAGACATTGAATGTCGAAACCGGTCCACAGTTTGCTTTTTTGAGCGAAACGTTGGATAATCAATTCCGAAAAACAGTGATGCAAAACTGAAAATGCACCGGGCAGAGCACGTTTGTGCAGCCGTTTTGACCCACTACCACCGTTGTTGAGGTGCTTGTAAATTCCTTTTATTTCAGTTCATTATATTTTATTTTCTGTGCCAGTTCGTTTTAAAATTACATTGAACCCTATCCTCCCGCCTGTGTGCTGAGTTGCCGTCGGTGTAACCAGGGCCCTATCCCCCTCCTGCCACCCGTTCGTCTCCTGCCCGGTGTAACATCCAACCTCACCAATCGTCTCACCATCCAACCACATTACCACGCCACTTGGTCACGCTGTTCAACCACGCCACTTACTCTCATCACACTATTCAACCACAGAACTTTAGCAATCAACATCATCACTCGCCACGCTATCGACAATTACGTTACCACTTTACTACATAGGTACCTCACCACCACACTATCAGCATTTACCTCAACGCTCATCACTCGACCACACCACTCATCTGACTATTCACTTGCATATAAGAATAGGTTTTACCCTTTCTGGCAATAAAACAGGTGTTAAGATGTCAAAACAACCAAACTGAAACCTTTGGCAAGGAATCACGTCTGCATTAGCCACATATAAAACTAGATTCGAAGCTTTCGTGACTGCAGGAATTACTCTTTGGTTCTTTCGATAAAGTCACGTAGAAAGAAAATAAATTAAATAATTCGTACCTGATGATCGTTGCTTGTGTTGCAATCGAAACATCGTATTCTATTATTATCTAATTTATTTTCTTTCTACGTTACTTTACCGAAAGAACCAAAGAGTAACCACATATACTTGTGGTGAACATGCAACCAAAAACATGCTCTGGTAGTATATGCATTGTCTTTGAAACGGATTGGTCCACACCAGAGACAGCTTTCTTTAGAGCCTAGTCTCAAACAGTGTTAGACCAGAGGACGCCAACAGGTGAACACAGGACACCAAAAGGCGAACAGCCAGTTATCTAACCACACTATCCAGTTACTTCACTCAATACTAATTAACCACACTCAACACCCATATTCAACCGCATTGCACTTGTTACACCATTGAAGGTGGACCAAGATCTTGCCCTTCCCAGAAGGGTGATTTACAATCTGCGGGCTGCTAGTTCTGTTCGTGGTCAGAGGAGGTTGGCTCCGTAGTGGAAGACCCCATGGAGTAGATGAGGATGGCTTCATTCTCCACAGCACCACCAATCGTATGCATTACTTCAAGCTCAAAGGTGTGTGAGGAGTGGTGGCGCTGTGGTTAGCGTGCTGCGCAGAGACCGGAATTCGATTTCCGCTCAGGACCAACACCAGTGACGATTACTGAATCGGTCCTGGGCCTTCTAGAGGTCGACTCAGCTTCAATTTAGTGCCTGGTGTGATGTGTATACATCGCCACTAGAGAGACAAAGGCGGCCAGACGCCCTAATATGCGTAGTGCAGACTATCTGCACTGATTTCAGTCTCAGATCCTTAATCTTTTCTGCATTTGAGTGTATCATGTCTGCAAAGGGTCTTGTATGAAAAATATACTTGATATATACCCCTCACGGTTGTTCTTGAGGCACATGTCCTGTTTTTGAGAATTGCATCGTGATGGAGTTACATTTAGACACATGAGAAATTACATTTGTAATTCCATGCAACATGTTAGTATCGATCATTAGTAAAGTGCACTGAAGTTTGTGTAGCCAGGGCTTAATTTTAGCTGGGTCACCCGGCAGACCACTTCAGTGTGATTCTAATACAAGCACAGTGTGATTCTAATACAAGCACAGTGTGATTCTAATAATTCTAATCACGCATCTCCGATCAGCGCGGTTGGCTACATACGGTGCGAAATAAGCTCAACATATAATATACATTCATCTGACCACCATAACTGCACGACCTCGTGCTCAACTTTACACTTCTCATCACACTGTTCGACTACAGCAATTACTTATTTTACTCTGAACTCACCACCAATTACACCAAATATTGCTGAAAAAAATCACACAGAAGTTATGAAGCCGGAATTGCTGCTGCTGTAAGCCGATGGAGCTGGTTGCTGATACGCAGCCTCACGTTGTGAGCTGTTTCGATTCCATAAGAAACTGTACCGTTTCTACGGCACTGGAATGTTGCTATTTTTGACCCGAGTTTTTGTCCCGGTACAATACTGCGGATCCTACTCACGCGGTGCTGCTGGCTGTGACACATCGCCATCTACCACAAATGGCTGTGGCTCTGAATCTGGCCATTGCCTGACACTGCCCTCTACCACAGCACGGTGTCGTCGTCGTTTGGGCTACCTGCCCAGCTGTTTAGTATTCAACCAGTGCTGATACCGGCATGCAGTCGTGGCATCTGTTCCTGCAACACGGTGCACTCACCACCACTGCTGGCCTCAACCTTCAATAAGGCCCACCAACCACCCGTGAGCCGACCGTTCTTCACTCGGCTCAGTCTGAGCCATCCATGTTCAGGGCCCAAGGTCAACAACCAATGCCATCTTCTTCCCCCCCCCCCCCCCAGACCCTGCCATCCTCCTTCCACCACCAAGCTGATTGGGTCTTTGGTCCAGGCGAGACTGTGGCGGTGGCCACTACACCCACTTCCCCATCCCCTCTTCCCCTCCCTTCCCCCTCCGGGCCAACCATCATCCAGCCTGTCTGGGCCTCGGATCAGGCCTTGGCTGTGGCCGTTACTCCAACTGCTCCACCATCTCTTATACTCACCTACCCCCGGCTGCCCACCACCTGGTCTACTTGGACCTCTGGTCTAGTCTAGGTTGTGGTGGTGGCCACTACTCCCAATTATCTAATTTTTCCCCAACCGGCTGCCCACCACCTGGTCTTCCCGGGCCTTTTGGTTCAGGGAATTCTGCGGTGATGGCCACTATTTCTTTAACCTTCTCCACCCACCTCGTGGACCCTCCATCCACTGAAGTCTTTCCTCTGGCCACCTGTTTTACTCCAGGTTCTAACTGGCTCGCAGCAAGTTTTCTTAAAATAAATAACTCTAAAACTGGGGAAAAATAATTACCTCACATCAGCAATCTACTGTCCATCTGCTTGACTCTGATCTTCACATTAGTCAACAGGCACGTCAACTGGGTTTCACTCTTGACTTCACATTTCCTATATGTGCAAGACCGCTTTCATCTGCAACTGTCTCTCTGAAACAGCTGCAGCAACAATAGTTCATACATTTGTAACTTCCAGGCTAGACGACTGAAATTCTATCTTATTTGGTCTTCGTCTCTCAACCAATGTGTCCAGTGCATCCAAAACGCAGCTGCAAGAGTACTCACATCCGTAAGCGTCATTACACCCATTTTACAGTCGCTTCACTGGCTACCTATTCAGTCCAGCATCACCTACAAGATTGCAGTCACTGTTTTCAAAATTATTTACGGGCTAGCCCCTGCCTATCTTTCCCCTCTGATTTCAGTTTACTCCTGTCCCCAGGTTCCCCGTTCATCTTCTCTAGGGTGGCTCTCCACTCTAAAAATACAACTTAAAACCATTGGTGGACGAGATTAGTCATGCACAGTCCCTGCAGTCTGGAATACCCTCCCACTCCACATCCAATAAATCAACTCTATCATATTATTGAAATCTGAACTAAAGGTTTTTTTTTATTCATCCAAGTATACGCTGAAAAATTGGTAATCACTTTTTAGATATTGGACCGATTGATATAAATTAGTCGTAAAATTTTGGCACTCCACAGCCCCTCCTGTGAAGATTTCTTGCCTTGGTTGTAAAATGGGAATTATGGCCTAGGATGTGACCTACAGTAATGGACTAATTTCTTTGTTTTGATAACTTTTTTTGTTTTGGTGCCATTTCTTAATTTATTAATTTTAGATTTGCTTGGTACGTAGCAAGGTTTTAATTTGCTTGGTAGTGGCTGTATATGGGATTTGGTTCTCATATAATTGATGTACAGCGTTATGGGATGCTATTAGCATGACTGACGCTATATCAAATATAAAAATATTAAGTCTACATTCTTTGGGTCTTTCGGTAAAGTCACTTAGATAGGTTCAAAAAATAATAAAATAAACAAAAAACGACGATGACTAAAAAACGACGACGACGGTGGTGGCACCAAGCCGATTATTCTGGGCAAAGAAGCAGACAGAGGTTTACAACAGCGACACGCATGTCAAAAGTTTGAGACGATAAAATTGTGCTGAATTTCACCTCCTGGGATTGTTGTTTGCAAACGAAACTTCAGTGTGCCCCATTCATTTTTTTATTAATTTACATTCATATTTGATTTATAAACAAGAAAAACGAATGGCCGTCGCTGGCGCTGAAATTATCGTTTAGAAGCTGGGCCAGTCTGCCGGGGGCTGCCGTGGGCCCCGTGGCCTCGCAAGGCGGTGGCCAAACCCTACGGGCATTCAACGACAAACACAGACCATACACACAGACCGACTCATTACGGCCGACGGGGGGGGGGCAGGGTAGGTGGTTAAAAATGCCGAATGGTTGTGGAAGGCAAGAGTGAGGGAAAAAGGGAGGGTGCATGTATCTTATTGAAACATCTATAGAAATACTCTAGGTCAGTTTAACACGTAGGCTTTCGTGACCAATATCATCCATAAGAGGTTTTTTTGGGTTAGATCGCATAAATATATAAATGTGTCATTAAAACCCGCCACCACCCGACACAGCCAACTAGTGAGGGTTGTCAGGTAAACAGAACATGCCAATTCGTCACTAGTATAGCACAAATAATCTATGTGTCATGTATTATATAGGTTTGGGTTAAACGAGGACCCATGTCTGAGAGGAATCCCTGGGAGTTCACTAGTATTGGTTCAAACGAGCCTGACTCTTCTGATGAATGAGACACTATTTTGAAACCAGTCCAGAGTTTTGCTTGTGTTGAACCAACGCTGCGGGTATTATTCACTACCAGAAAGCCATGTGGTAGTTGGAGTTCATAAAACGAACTCACTTTTTCATGTGGAGGGACAGATATGAAAAGGAAGCATATGATCTGCTAATTGTGTTGTTTAAGTGCGCGCAGGAACTGAGGGGCAATGCACGAGACGCACCAGGCAAGGAGCCGAGGCTGCTGTGCCCCCTCATTGCCCAGAATAACCAATAAAAGCACCCGCGAGCAACTCCATCAGCTGTAGTTATGTAATCAGTTCACAGCAGGAAGTCGGGGCCAGCCCTATCGCGACAGCACGCTCACCCGGTCCCGCTCATTTATCAGGGGAGAGCACTACGCCTGCTTGGGTGATGGTGGCAAACGCAAACCTAAGATCCCAGCTAGCATCCTGGTTTCTATTCCCACACTCTAACATGCACAATTTGCACCTGAGCCACGCAAGTTTGGCGCAGGTACCATTGACGCAGGTGCAATTGAGCTCCCAGTTATCGTTGCTGCTGGCGGTAGTAGTCTCTGCACGTGGAAATGATCGCAAATTGTGATTGGTTTGATTTTTTTTCTTTTATAAACTTAAGCGATGGATATTCGAGTTAGTTTCGGATTTGGAAGCTCAGCTGAGATTCGGATTCAGTTCCGCTCTGATGGATTCGTCCCATTCCCAATTCGGCTATAACCACCACTGATGTTTTACATGGCCGGGAATCCAACTTGGGCCACCGGGATCATAACATGTTGTGCTAACAACTGTGCTACTGCTCCACCCTGTGAAGTTGCATGTAAATGGTATGTAAATCCAAAAGTGTTGTTTTTATTGGGGAATATAAACGCCCAAAATATTCAAATCCTTAACTTCTATAGTTCCTGCAGTGGATGTGGCTATATATATATCCATACTTAAGTAACCTTTTCTCAATGTGAGTTTAATTACGGTTTAACAGGTGCACAGGTACCACTTGGGGTGTGTTGAGAGAGGCAGGATGGTTCAGATGAGTGTAAACAAAAAACACTGTACCTATGTTTGATGTATTGACAGCAGCCGTGCTTGATATATGGTTCTGAGAGGTTTCAACGTCTTCATAATCTGAGTTGTTAACTGCTTTCATGACCCCTAACACAGATCAAGGAAAACACTGTTAAAACCACGACACATTACAAATACATGCAGCGTCCTATATCCCCTAATTTTAGTGGCCTTGAAATGACTCGCCGTGTTGCGGCGCAATGGACCTTTTCGTTATTCATACAATCAATGCATCTGTGTTGTCAGTATCATATCATGAAATAAAGAAATCTCCTTCCAGAACTGCTTCAGTAAGCATAACCTCACATTGCATCAGGAATATGCCCTGGATGATGGCAGCCCCGTATACTTTCACAGCCATTTGTAATCCAAGTGCAGTCCCCTGGGATCGGCCGCGTGTTGAGAATTTCTGCTTTTTAAATCTCGGCGTTGAACTGGGTGAAAACTGAAATGGATACGATGGGTTTTTGTATGCATGAATTGATGGCTGGGCTGAATTCACCAACTAGTTACACTCAAAGCCATAGTTTAATCACTGATAACCTGCTGTAGGAATTCCAATTTTAAATTAAGATATAACTGGTGCTGGCGCAGTGGTGCGACATTGCTATATTGGTCTCCCTGAGAAACCCATCACTTTGGCTCTTGGTCAGTAAAACAAACTGACCATTCACAAGACAGGAAATGTATTTCTTAGTGGTTCTCAGATGTCTTTTTGTTGTTATACTGAATTCAGTTCCTGAAGAAGCTTGCCAGCATTGAAGCAGCGGACGTGCTGAAAGACAAGCAGTACAACCAGAAGGCGCATGGCGGAGCTATACGGCACAACGGTGAAAACTTATGCCGTGGTGTCATGCTCGGTGATTAACAATCACCGCAAATGACCTGAACCCACTGAAATGTAACAAATTATTTGGTGAGGCTGCATAAGCACAATTATCATAAAAGTTCAACACAATCACCAATAACCCTGCTTGGAAGGAAAAAATATATAATAGGAGACGTTTTGGGCAATGGCCCTTCTTTGATGTATATGCGGTGAGGATGAGCCATTGCACAAAATATTTCCCGAAGTTTCATTTTCTTTTAAGGCCACAGTGTGTGTTATCGACGGATGTGTTGAGTTTTATTTAAATTTGGAAGGGTCAAACTTTCAAAGAGTGAGCTCGGGTCATGTGGACTTCACTGAACTGGTCTCACCTGGTTTTTCTGTGATGGCTGCGCTGGGTGGCTGAATGAAAAACCCAGAAAAAACAGGTTTATCATACAAAATCAAACATTGTAATGTTATTTTAAAAAATGCATCCAAATGCAAAATTATAAAACAAATAGCGGCAGTTATAATAGTTGTTGTTATACCTCTGACTTTCCAAAGAGTTGTTTTCCAAATATCTTGACACCCTGCTTGATGTTGAATGGAATGGATGTGATTTTTTGATTTCCTTTAATGAGGGTGTCATCTGTGAGTCGTAAAGAAAACGCATTTGTGGTCAGAACACTCAATGTACAATCAGAACACTCAATGTACAATCAGAACACTCAATGTACAATCAGAACACTCAATGCACAATCAGATCACTCAATGTACAATCAGAACACTCAATGTACAATCAGAACACTCAATGTACAATCATAACACTCAATTTACAATCATAACACTCAATGTACAATCATAACACTCAATGTGAAATCAGAACACTCAATGTACAATCAGAACACTCAATATACAATCATAACACTCAATGTACAATCAGAACACTCAATGTACAATCATAACACTCAATGTACAATCATAACACTCAATGTGAAATCAGAACACTCAATGTACAATCAGAACACTCAATGTACAATCAGAACACTCAATGTACAATCAGAACACTCAATGTGCATTCAGAACACTCAATGTACAATCAGAACACTCAGCCCATTATCCGTCCAGGGCTAGAAAGTAAGTACATCTTTATAGAAAGTCAATGGTTCAGTGAAACGATTTTTTATCTAGGCTTCCTATAATCCAGAAAGATAAAGACAAAGCTCCCCCATGTAGCATTTAACAGACTGTTGGGGCAAGTGCTGTTAGCAAGGACATATGAAAGCGGGCACGGTGTAATAGAGGGTGGATGGCCAGCACGACGGCCGGCCACCTCTGTCTCCTCCTTTGCTGATGTTTTACACACCGCACCAAGTACTCATTTAAGGCTGAGTCAACCTAGGGGAGGCCCATTACCGGTTCAGATGTAAATTACGGATGTTGGCCTTGAGCAGAAATCAAACTCGGATCCCCAGGTTCAAAGTACAGTGCGGACGTGCATGTGAGGGATGCCACCAATCCTCACATCCACACACACATGCGCAAAGATCCCCCCTATAGCCTAAGTAGACTGTTGAGGCAAATGCTTCGAGCACCTATGCACACAAGGGGGCGGATGCCCAGCACCACGCCTGACCGCCTTTGAGTACCAGGTACTCATTTGAGTCGACCACGTGCGCACGGACGTATGCACACGTACGCATGCTGAATGTGCTTCGCACACATCCGTATGCTATAGTCTTCCTGTTTTCTAAGACCTTTCTTAGATGAGAGGAATGGCGTTAATAGGTGATTTGTTACTCTTGTAAAGGGAGAACATTTGTACATTGTTTTACATTAAAATATTCCACCTGGAAACTTCTTTCCCATGGAACATCTCAGTCTGAGTGTCCTGAGCATCATGAGATATATGATATTCTTGGTTCTTTCAGTAAAGTCACGTAGAAGGGAAACAATACAATAATAAAAATATAAAATAACATTCTTACGACGTTTCGACTGCAACACAAGCAATCATCATTAGGTGTGAAAACCACAGCAAGAAAATTTGAAAAAGTGGCGGGTTTTTTAACGTTAGTACCACGGAGAGCGATTTGGCAGTTATTCAGTTGGACGAGTCCATCTATGTTCGGAAAAGAGGAGGGGGGAGACGAAAATAATGGATGCGGTCAGAAAGCCACCGTAAACGTGAACAATCAATTAAGACCCAAAATGGTTTATCAAATCCTTCCAATGATTGCTAAGCCAGAATGCATCTTCTCGGTTAAAATTGTCTCTGTGTTTGTATATGTGGATAGCCTCATGGACGAATCTCTCATGGTAGCCAGATGGCTTGCAAATAACTTCTGTCTTGGAGAAGTCAATGTCATGTGAGCCTACTGAATTATAACAGTGATCTGCCACGGCCGAGGTGTTGGTTCTACCGTGTTTTAGGTCTGCTTTGTGTTCACGAATGCGGTCCGAGACATGTCGTTTGGTTTCTCCAATGTAACTACTATCACAGAGGCAACTTAGTTTGTAGACGCCAGGGTACTGTATGTCCGGAATCACATCTTTCACAGATGGAACCAGATCACGGATATTATGTAATGTGTTGAATCGGGCCTGGATCTTGTGTTTATTCAAGATTTTGGAGATCTTTTTTGTGATCCCCGCAATGTAGGGTAAAGTGATGGTTTTGAAAGGCTCCTCAAGAGGGTTCTTCTTCATGGTTGGAGTGATAGCTTTGCGGATTGTGTAGTCGGAGTAACCATTTTTATATTTTATTGTTTTCCTTCTATGTGACTTTACCGAAAGAACCAATAATATGAATCCCTGCAGTCACGAAAGCTTTAAATGAAGAGATATATGATGTTTTATGAGGCCTCCTCTGCCAGTAACAAGATATAGTAATAGGGTTTACCCTTTAACTGGCACAATATATGAGGGGCCCGAGTTTCATATATAGATATATGATGCTCAGAAAATGCACGTGATAACTCGTGTCCATGTGTGTACTTGTGCATGTACAGCCCAGTTTTGCCAATTCACTGCTGGACGAGGGCCTCCCCGTTGTATATTTTGACCATACTTCACCACGCTGGTCAGTGCGGGTTGGTGAAGGTGGGGGGCGGTGCAGCACAAGTGATGTTGCTGCAGTGCCCCCCACTAACCACAGCCTCGACTGCACGGTCACTGCCCATCCATGCACTATCCAGGCTTAACCCTGGGTTCATTCTGGGTGATTTTGTTTTTTACACAGTCGCTGAGCACAGGAGGCCCAGAGGCCCAAAATTTCAATCGGCCAACAACAAATGGCGCCGTCAAAGTTTTAAAAGACAAGAATGTAACATGCTTCTTGAATGAGCGAGGTTATTACGGCACTCTGATATCTATTGTTTAAGGGCGCCTTTTACATGTAAGTCATTATTATAAGAGCTTGGGAAAGTCGACGTTGGGACAGAGTTCCGTAGTCTAGGAGTCAAATGTGTGGAGAAACACGGATTACAGGACCTGCCCACGATACTCCTATACCGTGACGGGGTCCAGCGTCACCGCACTCAACGCGTGTTGCAGAGGTTCACCGTTCGAATCCAGCAGGCCGCCCCGGTTATTACAGTGGGTGTATTAACCACACAATACGCCCTGTCTGCTTCATGTTGGACGAAAAAGGTCCCGTGACATGTGCATGATAAGGCAATTGTGTTCCCAGCGTCACTGTCCAAGTTGGGTAATGCTCACGATGCCTCACAGCAAGAGGGGCCCGAGTTTCATTCCCGACTCGGGTGCCTCTCTGAATGGCGTTTGTATGTTCTTCCTATGTTGTGCATGGGGTTGCTCCCAAGTTCTCCAGTTTCCTTCCATAGCTAAAACCCCACACAATGTAACTGGTATTGGCCATACATCCCAATGCAAAAAAAAATGCCTGAAAATTATTCGATTGGAATGACACAGCAGCAACATCACCCCTTCTGCAAAAAAATGTTTCAAGACCATCCTGAAAGAGAGCCGCTGCGTCCCACTCACCTGCACCATCTGGAGCTGTGATGACATACTCCGTTTTATCCTGCGACCACGCAGCACAGTCCCTGGTCCACACGGCCGACAGAGCTGTGTGCGACACGGTACAAGCGAACCTTGCACACGGTCACTCGCAAACTTGCAAACTATTCGCGGGTCACCGAGCATCTGCAGTCCAACTAGTAACCACCGTTAACCATTCGCAAGTAAGGCATCCCCAACCTCCACAGTGTGGCTGTGCTCCTGTTTGAACTCCAGGTTAATCGCGAACGGCTGGGACTCAAAATTCAGATGCTGATGTTGGCTCAGTGCTCTGCAGTCCAATATCACAAGCACCCTAAGCCACCGGACCACCTCCATCCTTCTCCAATAACAGTCGTTTACCTGCGGTTGCCACCGTTTCACTGTAGAGCAAACGCAGATATATTTCTCAGTCAGCCTAAGCCTATCAACACTGTGCAGTGTTGATAAAGTTGAAGTTCAACACCAAATCTCGGTGCAAAGCAACTCATGCCACTCAAACACAGACACCAATTTCTGGAGTGTCCATGTCAAACCAAGTCAGGCGGCAACTCTACGGTTGCCTCTCTAGCTACGCCAGGTTAAGAGCCGAGTTAAGCCCTCATTTCCCATGCGCATAAAACACGAACCCTAAACTCTCACAGGACGAGTAACACCCAGACCTCACCTCCATCCTCGCTGTGGGAGGCAGCCCCAGCCATCGGCCCTGCGGGAGAATTCAGAAAAAACCATCAGGCCGCGGACGACATGGAACACGCGAGAGGTGACGGCGGCGGCGTTGGAGTTGTTGGAATGTTTTTTCTTTTGTTGCCATTTTCCCTCAATTTTATCGGCATCATCAATAACATGAAGGAGACGGATATCACAGAGCTACCTCTGAGATCCCTTGAGGTGACCGATTTCATATACTAGAGGGCACGACTTTCCCTCTCGCCCCGCCAAATGAGAGTAATATTCATCACATGACAGTCTAACCATTGTTTTAAATTCTCAGGGCTGGAGTTTAGTCAAATTAAGTGCAGAGCTTAATTTTAATCATGAATGAGGTTTTGTGCGCAGTTGCTGGCGACCGGGCTAAGACCATTAACTCGCGATATTTGAGGACCCGATTTAATCAAAACCCGTGGCTGAAACCTGGATTCGAACCCAGGAGCTATAAACTAAATTAAAACTAAAGTATTTATTTTCCAGGTAGGGCCCCCTGAACTATATAGCTATTTTTTAAAAGCGACCTGGCCACAAATAATAGCTCAACAAAGTGACTAATCATGTGGAATTTATAGCAACCAAATACTCTAAACGCATGTTTCTAAATGTGGAGGTAAAAACCGGATGACCCAAATAAAAATCCATGCAACCACGGGGAGAGAGACATGTAAACTCCAAATATACAGCAGGCGTCATGGTCGGGATCGAACCCACGACCTGTCTACAAGGCGAGGTAGTTATCATCTCACCACCGGCTCAGCGCTCTGCCCTCTGACCTCTCAGCTACCCGGACACTTCACCATCGTAGGAGAGCGACTGGCCAGACACAGAACAACCAAACCCCCACGCAACCCGAGCTGTGATGTGGGGCCAAGGTTCAACTCAAGAATCAATTCTCCTTTGTTTAGTTTTTTCTGCCTTATCCTCGCAGCAGCGGCTTTTGGCTAGCCATCGAACAAAGACTGCATCGCACGCTTTCAGATGTGCTTCTGCGCCCGTCTGGAACGCTCTTTCTTCTGATATTAGGAAGCCAATGGAGCTATGCACTTTTGTATCTAGATTGAAAACTCATTTATTTGGAACTGCTTTTTGTTTAGTTTAGTTGTCCTTCCTTCACACTTCTGATTAGCACGATTGGCTACGTACAGCGCGAAGGAAGTTCAACATACACACATTTGTGTTTTTTCTCATTTGTGCAGTTTTGACTGTTCGCTTAGCCTAAATGTGTCATTACACTATCGTTTGCATATACTTTACATAAATTATAACCATAAGTAATACATTCTCACATGTACAAGACTAAATTTGCATCGGAGTATAATAACCAATTTAAATTATACACCTACCTATTATTATTTATTTCACTTGTTTACCCAGGAGAGCCTTACTGTCCTGCCGATTTTTCGCGAAGGTGGTGATGTCGCTGCTGTGTGCGATATCCCAATTGAGTAATTTTCAGGTAATCTTTAAGCATTGGGATGTTCGGCCAATACCACTTGCATTGTAAGTGAATTTTGTAGCTACGGGAGGAATCCGGAGAACCCGGACGAAGCCAATGTCGAATAGGGGGATAAAATACACAGAAAGGCATCCCAGTCGGGAACTGAACCCAGGCCTTGCTTGCTGTGAGGCACGAGAGTTACCACTGTGCCGCCACCCTGCCACCCAACATTAACTACATTACACAATCCCACTGCGGATTCACACAGCGTCTAAAAGAGGAACATGTATTTACTTCTTCGAGACAGAGAGAGAGATGGTCAGTCGTAGGCAGAGGAAAAGGGGAGTGCAGTCGACGCATAAGAACACAAAGCAGCATGGGCGTAAAGGTGGCAGCCATGCACTGCCATAGACCTTTTATGCTATGCAGTGTCCAAGCTTATACACCTCAAGAGTTGGGCTCTGCTATCACCCCAAGTAATCGGTCACGCTACCAAATTATGGTGCTTTCACTAAACTTTTCAGATGGCACAATAGTGAGGGAAAAAAAAGTCTGACCACTGCTCCTACGTGTGCCGCTGGATGGGAGGTGAATGGCGGGGCTCTATGACGTCATCGGCATTAACTGGGAGTGGAGCGATCAGTCGAGTCATCGATTGTTGAATTAACCAGAGAGCCGAGTCACCGATTGTTGAATTAACCAGCGAGCCAGCTCGACCGTGTAGTGGCTGGCTGATGACAGTATGTAAAGTAGGTTGTTGCTTAGGTGTTCTCTGGGTAATCAAACTGCACAATGACTCAAAAAGCCAATTGCCAAACTTCCCAATTCAGGAGCCTCCTGAAAACGAGTATTGGGACTCGTTGCAAACATGAAGGAATGTAATAATGTATGATCCACTGCTGGATGAAGGCCTCCCCCACACCATGTTGGTGAGGACCCAGGACCGGTTCAGATATCACTCACGTCCGCTGTTAGCCATGACTGGGATTTAAAATCAGTTTGCCACGCTCACAGCGCAGTGCGTTAAGAATTGCGCCACCGCCCCACCCAGCACCATTATGATTTTTAACACAAAACTCAACACATTCGTCAATAACGTGGTGTTGCCTTAAAAGGACAAATGAGGTGACGTTTTGGGCAGTGACCCTTCCCCATAACGCATCAAGAAGGAGGCGCGTTGCACGAACCATCACCTCTTATATCGTTTTTAAGGCCACACCATTGCTGACGAACGTGCTGAGTTTGTTGTTATGCGTGCACCATTGCCAAAGCAGCTGCATCACCAACTAAATTAGTTCAACTTGTGGGTTTTCACAGCCTGTGATGATTTACAATTAACAATGCAAATATAAAAGCATTAATGGGTCAGATCGAGTAGTTATATCTACATATCGCTATTATTGTATTATTATATACATCCAACACCTTGAAGTGGTGATGCCTCTCTGTAGATGGCAGCTGGGAGCCTGGGCAGCTGGACCTGGGAGTAGAGGGGGTTCGCGAGCCTCTCCGGCACCGATGACCGTCCTCTGTCTCCGCCGCTTCCTCCTCCTTCACTGCCGCTGTCGACCGAGGAGGACTTTACCAGTTTCCCAGGCCTCTGATTGCGTGGAGTGACAACAGAGTACAGGCGGTCCACGCTGCTCGGGTCAGAGGGCGGCGGGCCGGGGAAGGGCGCCACCACCTCGTAGTGCTGGGCCGCTCCGCCACCGCCCACGCGGGCTTTGCCGCCACCGTTATTTCCGCCGTTGTTGCCGCCGCTGTTGTCGCCGCTGTTGCCGCCAATGCCACCGTTGGAAACGAATAGGTTCTCGTAGTCCGGCGTGACCGGCGCGCCGTACGTCTCGTACAGCCTGCTCCTCATCGGCTTCTCAGGGACGGTCACAACTTCGTAGTCGCTCTTCCACCTGGGCTGCGCCGCATTGTCCCTGCCACACCGTTCGCTTGGCAGCTCTGCGGGTTTCCTGCCGCCACCACTACTACTGCCGCTGTCCTCAGCTGGTGGGAAGATCTTTTTTCTTGCAGGAGATTTGGTGGGGCTTTCGGCGCGATCGCTGGCGTTTGGCGATGGAACGCTTCTACGGGACGACACACACGAGGCGGCGATGAGAGTGCCGTTAACTCACCCGTTGATCCTGCATGGCGTCAAGAATGGGAAGAAAAGATGGCAGCCACGGCAGCGCAAAGTGTTCAGCGTGGAAGCCTCTAACATGCCTGCGTATTACACCGCTCCACGCGTTCGCATCCGCGTGGTCCACCTGGGGTGCGTAAGGCTCATACGTACAAGCGAGATGTCTTGAGAGGGATGGAGGGTCTCTCCATTGGCTTGCCGCTCTTCAGCACATTTGTATAGTGTGATTCCTTTGCGCCAAACATACGCGCACACAAATACAGAAAAGACTTTTGGGCAAGTGCTTTGAGCAAAAGTACATAAATTGCCGCCGATCTTTCAATACTAAATGCAGAACAATAATAAATATAGAGCTGCGGCTGTGCTGGGCCTCCTCACCTGCACGGGCGCATTCACCAGCCTCTCGTAGTGGGCACTGAGGTTCTCGTAGTCTGGGTTCTTGTCCAGCTCGTTGGAGAACATCGTGGAGATGGCGCGATACACAAACTCGTACTGGTCCTACACACCGCACCGGGAGAGGCACAACAGAGAGTCGTTGCCCCACCCACACGCTCGCGTCCTCACTGCTGCCCGAGAGCTAGAGGCAGAAGTTGTACTGTCGTTTTGGGAGCTGTTGGCGGACCCCATCTCCAAATGTAATTTTGACGAACAACTACTACGACACTGCAGGCCAGGCACTGTAACAAGTATGAACGTTTTACTCCCCCGGTGCTTTGTTGAATTGTCACGATATGGGTGTCACGTTTCCATTGAGAAACTCATGTTTCTATTAATCTTGTTTTACCGTCTTGTCTGTCATGTTTCTCATCTGTTCAATTGTGTTAATGTAAAATGGAGTCAGACACTGACCTCCAAGCCACATGGCCACCTCACATTAACCATATTTGTGTTTAGTTTGTTGTCCTTGCCGCGCACCTCCAATTAGCACAGTTGGCTTCGTAAGGTGCGAAAGAAGTTCAACATACATACATGTGTAATCAGCGACTTCCGCGACACGTCATGTAGAGGATACTTCTTATTTTATTTCTCACACTGGGCACAACACATGCCAATAATTATTATTCTCACTCTGAGTACAACACTTAAATATTAACGTCTCTACTGGCTACACACAGCCGATCACTCGGCGTGGTCCCACCGCCCTCACTCGGCTACACCGCTGGCTGGCAGCGTGACGATGACGGCGATGGAAACCCCGCAGGAGATCTTCCACGTGGCCGGACGACGGAGAGAGATGTCGGCGAACAGCGACGCAGCCAGGACCCAAGAATCCACACACGAACTCCGAGCCCTGGGTCCGCTCCCCCTTATATCCCCCCAGGCGTGGCTAGGCCCCGCCTCTGGCCACGCCCTCTCGTGGAACCTTCGAGCAGGTTCCCAGAGTATCTCGGCCAACCCCACCTGCTACCTTTGCCCTAGACACCTCTCCCTCTCCGATTGGATGTTCCCTTAACCGTGCCCGTACCCGTGCTTCCCTTTCCCAGCGACCAGGTGTCATCATGTCATTACACATGTTTAACGATGGAACTCAGGTTGTGGTTTTGTAAGTGAACTCATCTCACATACAGCAAACAAACACAGTCTATTGACATGAACATGAATTGCAGATGAGCAAGCCCAGTTAGGGTGTATCTTACTCCAATCATTGTAGATTTGAAAGAAATAAAATACCTTGGTTTGAACAGCCGCTGGCCTCTGTGTCCGTATTTCCTGGATCACATTGAAGATGCTGAAATCTTCTTCTATTCTCTGGAAATGCACATAAAACAAATAGAGTCAGTTATTATTATTATTGCACCTGTTTACCCAGGAAAGCCTCACTGAGTCTCAAGACTCCCGTCCAGGAGGGCCCTGCCAAGGTTTTGCAGTCTGAGGCAAAGCTCCTGGCATAACTTCCAGGTATATAATTTTTTTCTGCCATGGCAGGAATCCAGAGAACTCGGAGGAAACCCATGCAGAACAGCGGGATAGAGAACACACATACTCCACACAGAGAGGCACCCAAGTCGAGAATCGAACCAAGAGCCAAGTTGCTGTGAGCGTCATCACTGCGCCGCCACCACCCTACCGTCCCATGATGAAACATCCACGCAGATTTGATTTTGCGTTGGACGAGGGACATCCAGGCGTAAAGCGCTGCATTGCAGATTAGCACAGAATAAGGCCAGCACTCGTCTGCAAATGCTAAACTGAAAGCGGTCTTTATTTAAACGCAGTCACTGAGCACAGGCGCAAAGGCTCAACACGACAAGCGGCCAGTGACAACACTACTGTCAGAGTTGTAATATATAAGAGTGTAAGAAGATGTGTTGTAGCTTGCAGTGTGACAAGTGATTGGGTGAGTGAGCAGGTGGGTGAGTGTGTGAGTGGGGAGCGGTAATCCAAAGGTTCGCACGCTGTGGTACGAACCCGGCGACTCGGGTTCGATTCCCGCTCACGGCCAACACCAGTGATGATTATCTAAACGGGTTCTGGGCCTACCCTAGGTCGACTCACCCTCAAATTAGTACCTGGTGCGATGTTTAAACATGGTGACCAGGGAGACAAAGGAGGCCGCGGGTGTGGTGTTGGCCGCCCACCCACTCGTGTACCGTGCCGGCCTTCATAGGTGATCGCTAACAGCACTTGCCCCAAGATAACTGTTAAGGTTATATGGGGGATCTTTTTCTTTGTGTGTTGAGTGAGTGTTTGACTGAGTGGGTGCGTTGTTGTGCTGTGAACTGTGGTGGGAGAACTCAGTGCGATGGATGAGATGACGGGAGTGTCCGCTCATCTGAGTCCTCAATGTGGGTGAAGGAGAAATCAATGGCGTGTTGGGCATCCTGTGTGGATACCGAGCTACGACTGCACCTTCGACTTGATGAGGTCCCACGTGTAATGGATGACACAGAGCGCTCCGGTTCTTCCACAGCCAGCGCTGCGCACGCCACGCACATGGAGACGTTATACAGTCAAGCCCGATCCAATTTTAGACACTCCGTTCAAACACTAGGGAGACATCGCAATGCAGGTTTTCCTCGCTCTATGCGGCAGTAGTAGTAGACGCTACTACTCGCAGCAATATTGTCCCACGTCCGACCGCGTAGCCGCATAATCGAGCGAGTTTTGGGTAGAAATAGGTTGGCCGCATATACAGCTTGAAATCGCACAAACCACATAGAGTGAGGGAAACCTACAGAGAAAAAACGACGTTGGCATTGTATAGCCACTTGCACGTCTCATAGCCAGTCTCAAATCACGTATCGTCCATTAATGCTCTCAGGGTGCACAATGTGCAGCATCGCTGTGACAACCTTCAACCGCCTGTTGACAACAAATATAGCCATTAGGAGTCAGTGGGGGGTTTGTAGATTTCCCTGCACACCACGCAAAATATACTCGTCTCACTCATAAGTAATGTGGCATTTCCACAAGAGGCTCAGGGCTGGCTTGAGCAGGATTTGGCTCTCACTTTGTGCATTGATTTGGCCGATAAATAGTCAGACGTTTGCAATATAAGCAAAGCTCCGCTCCGTGTCTCCACACAAAAATAACAACACATTAAAGGCCGTCGGCGTTTTGGCTGTCCAGACCAATGTTATCCGCCAGCATCTGTTGATGTGAGCAAACTCTGGACCGGTCTCAAACCTCATGGGTCTCAACGGCAGAGCCAGACGTGATCGGCAAGAGTACTCCCTTTAAACTACGGGGCCCGGTCCAACGCAACACCAGCACAGTACATAAACTCATCACGCATCGCCGTGGAACATCGTGGGTGAAAGCAAACACAAGCAGAAATATATCTTTTAGTCCATCGAACTATATTGGCTCTCCAGAGCAATGTTGTATGTTGAACTTCTTTCGCACCGTACATAGCCAACCGTGCTAATTGGAGGTGCGGGGGAAGGACAACAAACAAAAAGACATACATATGGGGTGGCCCAAAACTCAGGACACATAGGGTTATTATATTTATTTTACTTTAACAAATGTTCGAACTGACTTCAATTAACACAAATTTAAAATGCTTAACATTAAAGCTGTGCAATCTTTGAACATTCATCAATGTTGTTTTGCCTCAATTCATTCCGGGTTCTTCGTTGGGTTTTGTAAACAACGGATGTGAGGTGACCCCACAGGTAGAAGACAAATAGATATTAATAATAACAGATAACATTAAATAAAATAAACAATTAAAATGTTTGTCAGTGTAATAATAATGGAATAACTCCACGTGTCTTGACTTTTGGGCCACCCTGCACATACAGTCGCATCCTAGAGATTTGGTTGCAAGTGATGGAGCCACTCAGTGGCTTTTTCTGAGTGTTGATGAATAGCAGATGCACCCACTCACCCACCCAACTTCTCACTCACACTCACTTGGGGCGGTGCCAAGGACACGCTCCATGGTTTAACATTGATTTGTGTTTGTGAAAAAAATTGTATTCGTCTTTTGCCACCGTTGTTCTTCCACCACTGTTTTCTAATTGCTTCATTGTTGTACTTCATTTGTTTTGGTATAGTAATAGGTTTTACCCTTTTAACTGGCACAAAAACTGACACCTTTATTCAAGGCATCATGTTTGCAATAACCACAACACAAGCAGTCAAAATGCAAACAAAAGAGACAACTCTGTGCCAGTTAAAAGGGTAAAACCTATTACTATATCTTGTTACTGGCAAAGGAGGTCTCATAATGTAAATGCTCACCCCGAGCCCTCAATACTCTGATAGTGCGCTGTTTTTGAGTTGTACTCCTTTTGGCGTCATCTGGTCGAACACCAGTGGAGACTAGGCTCTAAGAAAAGCTGTCTCGGGTGTGGACCAATCAAATTCAAGAACAGTGCATATTATTATCAGAGTTGTCTCTTTTGTTTGCATTTTGACTGCTTGTGTTGTGGTTATTGCAAACATGATGCCTTGGATAAAGGTGTCAGTTATTGTGCCAGTTAAAAGGGTAAAACCTATTACTCTATCTTGTTACTGGCAAAGGAGGTCTCATAATGTAAATGTTCATTTGTTTTGCTTTTGTAATTGTGGTGACAAAGGTCACTCTTGCAATTGAGACTCCCTATCGTGGTCTCTTGAGCTCTCTCACCTGGTCACACAAAATCAACTGAGCGGCGAGACCAAATGCACAGCAGAGGCAGTGACGGAACTCGTCTCCTCGGGACGCATGCCGAGCACGGGAGGATGAGGCAGACCCCCGGTCGACCTGGCTTCCGTAATCATCGGCACTCTGGGATCGCAAAACTGAAAGTTCTACCAGAGCGGTGCGCTTCCATCGCTGCTGTTGTACTGCTCGTAAACGTGGACGTTACTCCAAAGTGATCCTGTGTTGGCTGCGGTCTCTTTGCAAGCGATGCCAAAGGCGCCTTCCTAGGGGTCGATGCCGTCACAAGCGCCAATGCTGAATCCACAACAGGCTCTGCCGACGATCGGACGCTCCGACCGGAGGAGGCGGCTCTTGTTGCGCCCGGGGGTCTCCCTCGTCGGCGGTCGACGTCCCAAGTTGATTACAACCCCCGCGCGGGAGAGGCGCCATCCCCCCCGGGGTCGCCCCCCCTGCCACCCCTGCCCACCTCACCCACAAACGCACGGATCGGACAAATCGCCCGTGACGCCGGAACGGCAGACAGAGAGCGGCCACTGCCGACGACGCCGTCGCGGCGTGACGGACCTGCGCTGGCCGTTCACGACGGGTCGAGCGAACGGCGGTACCTGCAGTGCATGCAGATGGGGCTGGCAGCTGCCCCCTGCTTCCTGTGAATGTGGGCGACCATGCAGAGGATGCTGTTCGGAGACTCTGGGACTCCGTGGTCTGGCCATGAAGGAAACTGGAAATGGAAGATTTCCCTGGATTCCTGTAGCAGAGGAGGGGATTGCACAAGGACCCTTTCAACACGGAGAAGGAACATCGCAGACGGTACACCTTCTTCACATTTCTGTTTCTCACATCCCAAGAGCCATACGGCCTTCTAGGGAGTTCATAATTTCACCAGCGTTCGTTCAACACAAGCAAAACTATGGACCGGTTTTGACATTCATTATTTCATCAGCAGTCAGGTTTTGCTTGAAACCAATGCTAGTGAACTGCCAGATTGTATAGGCAAGGACCTAAAAAGTACAAGAAGGTTTCACAGTTAAAAGCTGGTAACTATGAAACCTCTTATTCACAGACGTGCGATAGGGGTGGTTAATTAATAAACACATTAGCGGCAATGTTCTCATCATCAATCATAATTACGCACCCAACCAAGTGGCTCTGCTGGTGCCAAACTCCCCCTCCCGATCTCTGCAGTTCTCTTTATATTAAGGTGTTATTGATATATTTGTGAGTGTTTACATCTGGGAGAAACTTGGAGCACCTGGAGAAAACCCTAGCATGCGGAGGGGGCAACTCTCGATCCCACACAGACAGAACCAGTGGGGTCCACATTTGCTGTACGGCACCTCTTTGACACCCACCGGAAGGGAGTTTCACAACATTCGTGTGATCCACCAACCCTTGCTGCTGCCTCTCCGTTCTGGGTTACAGGTCACGTGCGTGGCCACCACCGCCTGGACATCAGCAGTGCCATTAAAAGCCTTCAAACAGCATCACAGCGATCACAATTGGCATCACTTAATCGCCATGATGACTACAGGCAGTAGCAGGTGGTAGTCACAGTTGTCGTAAACTTATTATGAAACCAGGTAACCTGGTGATGCTGCTACTGCGTTGGCAGTGTGCACAGGCACAATTAACAAGAAAAAAACGCAACACAATAGCACCGTAAATAGATTTTAAAATAATATACAAATATATAATTATATAATTGCTGCCGTTTTGAGCAAGGGTCCTTCTTCTTGATGTGCTTTGAAGAAGGACCACTGCCTCAAACGGCACCAATTATATGTTTGTTTTTGTTGTCTTGTAAGGCCAGTGTTGTTGACGAGCGTGCTGGGTTTTTCGTGAGAATCAGGAGTATGTATATATGTTGTATTGATATATTTTGAACTTCTTTAGTACCGTACGTAGCCAGCCATGCTCATCTGAGGTGTAGGGAAAAGGACAGCGAAAAAGCAGTTCTCGAGAAATAATTTTGCAATCTATATTTTAAAATGCACAGCTCCAGTGGCTTCCTAATATCAGAAGGAAGACCGTTCCAGACGGGCACAGAAGCACATCTGAAAGCGCGCATTGCAGTGACCATCTTTGTTCGAGAGTTATCCAAAAGTTTCTGCTGCTGCGAGGATAACTGGAGCTCCCGCGATGGTTTATGCTCCTTGACGAAATTAGCAAAGCATTGCGGTTCATTTGTGGTAAGCACTTTGTGTGTAACGAGTGCAACATTATAATGTATTCGTTGGTAACTGGAAAACAACGCAGCTCGGCGAACACCGGATGGACATGGTTGGAACAGGTGAGGGCAGATGCAAGCCAGGAGCACCTCGTTGAGGCGAGACCTCTCGGTAAGGGAAGCGATGCTGCCGACGAATGGGAGACGCTCGGCACCAGCGCACACGGCCCCACGCCCACGCAGGAACCCGTGCAGCAAGAGGGTTCTGAGTTTTTTTTCCCACAGGCCAAAACTAAAACAATTTTTATTTTACCAGGTAAGGCCCACTGAGCTAGTGAGGGAAAAAAGTATTTGATCCCCTGCTGATTTTGTACGTTTGCCAACTGACGAAGAAATAACCAGTCTATAATTTTAATGGTAGGTTTATTTGAACAGTGAGAGACAGAATAACAACAACAAAATCCAGAAAAACGCATGTCAAAAATGTTATAAATTGATTTGCATTTTAATGAGGGAAATAAGTATTTGACTCCTCTGCAAAACATGACTTAGTACTTGGTGGCAAAACCCTTGTTGGCAATCACAGAGGTCAGACGTTTCTTGTAGTTGGCCACCAGGTTTGCACACATCTCAGGAGGGATTTTGTCCCACTCCTCTTTGCAGATCTTCTCCAAGTCATTAAAGTTTCGAGGCTGACGTTTGGCAACTCGAACCTTCAGCTCCCTCCACAGATTTTCTATGGGTCTGGACACTGGCTAGGCCACTCCAGGACCTTAATGTGCTTCTTCTTGAGCCACTCCTTTGTTGCCTTGGCCGTGTGTTTTGGGTCATTGTCATTCTGGAATACCCATCCACGACCCATTTTCAATGCCCTGGCTGAGGGAAGGAGGTTCTCACCCAAGATTTGACGGTACATGGCCCCGTCCATTGTCCCTTTGATGCGGTGAAGTTGTCCTATCCCCTTAGCAGAAAAAACCCCCCAAAGCATAATGTTTCCACCTCCATGTTTGACGGTGGGGATGGTGTTCTTGGGGTCATAGGCAGCATTCCTCCTCCTCCAAACACGGCGAGTTAAGTTGATGCCAAAGAGCTCCATTTTGGTCTCATCTGACCACAACACTTTCACCCGGTTGTCCTCTGAATCATTCAGATGTTCATTGGCAAACTTCAGACGGGCATGTATATGTGCTTTCTTGAGCAGGGGGACCTTGCGGGCGCTGCAGGATTTCAGTCCTTCACGGCGTAGTGTGCTACCAATTGTTTTCTTGGTGACTATGGTCCCAGCTGCCTTCAGATCATTGACAAGATCCTCCCGTGTAGTTCTGGGCTAATTCCTCACTGTTCTTATGATAATTGCAACTGCTGCTTGGCAATGGTCTTGTAGCCCATTCCAGCCTTGTGTAGGTCTACAATCTTGTCCCTGACATCCTTGGAGAGCTCTTTGGTCTTGGCCATGCTGGAGAGTTTGGAATCTGATTGATTGATTGCTTCTGTGGACAGGTGTCTTTTATACAGGTAACAAGCTGAGATTAGGAGCACTCACTTTAAGAGTGTGCTCCTAATCTCAGCTAGTTACCTGTATAAAAGACACCTGGGAGCCAGAAATCCATCTGATTGAAAGGGGGTCAAATACTTATTTCCCTCATTAAAATGCAAATCAATTTATAACATTTTTGACATGCGTTTTTCTGGATTTTTTTGTTGTTATTCTGTTTCTCACTGTTCAAATAAACCTACCATTAAAATTATAGACTGATCATTTCTTTATCAGTGGGCAAACGTACAAAATCAGCAGGGGATCAAATACTTTTTTCCCTCTCTGTATATCCTTGTTTTTCTCAGAAGCGACCTGGCCACAACTGATCGATCAACGAAGTGGCTAATCACGTGGAAATTTATCGCAGCCAAATACTCTAAACACATGTAGATTCTAAATGTGGAGGGAAAAACCGGAGGACCTGGCGAAAAATCCGCCTGACCATAGGGAGAACATGCAAACTCCAAATATGTAGGCGTCAGGGTCGGGATCAAACCCACGACCTCCTGTATACCAGGCAATTGAGCTAACATCTCGCCACCACGGTACCCAATGTTAGCGATGTACCCCTACTCAATTACCATTTGCGGCCCTGAGCCAGCAGTGAAAATTCCACGTTCCTATGATGGAATCGGTGGCAGCCCCAGGTACACGTGCAACAAGCTGAGGCATAGGGTCCCCAAGGAGGTCAAGGAACCCCTGAATATTTCAATTGAATTCTGACATGGCCGGAACGTGGCCATTTATTCAACACAGACTGTTAATAAACGCCATTATTATTTTAAAAAGTTACTTGTTACCGTACAGTAAAGTCTATTAACTTAATTATTGACGTACAAGCTTGGCAGTCAATTTACATGAAGAGTCGTTACTGTCGTATGTGTGACGTTGTGCATATTTGGAAGTGCAGTGCTGAGTTATCACTTGTAACGCGCAGCTGAACAGTATTTGTTCACTCTCGCAGAGAGAGAATGGGCTGAGAGGCGCAAGGAAGAACCACAGAAAAGTGTGAATGCAGCCACATGATGAGCCGATGGCAACAATTTCCCAAGCTCTGCGGTCCTATCTTTATAATAGTGTAATTGGTCAATTAATGAGTGTTTATGTGTGGGACAAAACCGGAGCACTGGTGGAAAATCCATGGGTGGCGAGGGGGAAACACTCAATCCATTACACACGAAAAAGGTGGAATCCACATTCTTGCTGTACCACCGTCTCCTGGCAGGGCCAGGTTATGGCTCCTGGACACCCACGGGGCGGCAGTTTCACAACACCTGTACGATCCGCCAACCCTCACGCCTGACCGACGTTAATGTGAACAGTAACGGGAATGCACCGTACAGTTAACCTCACCTCTTTGAATGTGACCTTCAGCGTACGAACAAAGTATCCTTTGCACGCATCTTCCGTTTCCTTGTGTGTAAAAAAGAAATAGGCAGAGCAACATTACATCTGAGCAATCGTGATGCAGTCATTCACAGCTGTGGAGGGTAAAGGTGCGCCCCTGCGATGAATCTATCAGGCCACTGCTGTCGGAAGGGGCCTCCTCCACTCGAGGAGCTGTAGCGAGCGCCTCTCTCGTAGTGGCCTCCGTTTACTCTTACACACCGGCCCAGTACATCTTGTATACAATGCAAATCCTATCAACTGGTAGCAGGCTCTCTGATTGCTATCAGCAATAGCATCGCACTGCATGGAAAGCAAATTACCCGATTCGCTGGTGATTTGGACAGTATTGGTGCGACATTGAAGCGCTGTCGTCCTGACAGTTCTGTTCCTTCACCTGAAGAAGGCTACTTGTGTTGTGGCCGAAACGTCGTGAGAATTTTATTGTCTTATTTTGTTTTATTGTTTTATTCTCATTCTACGTGACTTTACCGAAAGAACCAAGAAGAAAAAGTTATCCTGGTCAGGCGTGTAGCCATGCAACGCGTGTCATGTCAAAGTCCTCGGATGAAACCGTCCGTGGTCCGTCCAGCGGTGGCGATGTCCCCTGCCGTCACCCCCCCCCAAGATGTGCGAAGGAGGAGCGTTGCTTTACTTTGGAACGTTGTGAGGAGTGCCGGCATGTCGCTCGTCGCTAAGCGGCACACTCCCACGACTGCTCTCGCCACAACGAGATGAACTTCACATTCGTCGGGAGTCGCAATTAGATTCAAGAATCGGTGACTTTTAGTTTTCCCTTAATAATTGTTGTCCGGTACGTACTATAGTATTCGAGCCATTCTAACAAGGCTATCACGAAGGCGCCGCTGTGCTTCAAAGGCAAAGCCTGCAGTAGTTTCACGGTAGGGGTGGGCGACGTTGCTGTGTTATCCCGAATTGAGAAATTTCGAAGTGTGATAAAAAATTTGGGCGGCAACGGCAGCACGCAACGGCCTGCTCTTGCGAATGACGTGACCGTGCAGCGGACGGCACGAATTTACGGTGAACACACAACTAGCGGCATCAGCCAGGGCGGCCTGCCGGATTCAAACCGTGAACCACCGTGACGAGCGGCGACCGAACTGCCGTCTTCGCGGTGCGCATCGCCCACAGCGGCCGCGCGCTTCCAACGACCCGGCCCCTCCGTACCCCTCGGTGGGCCGCTCGACGGCCCCCAGGACCCTAGGGGCCCCCCGTGGGTGGGAGATTGGATTATGCCACCTGCCTGTGAAGAGTTTCCCGCTCTGTCTTGCTTGCTCCCCTCCATGGAATCCTGTGCGAAAGGGCAAACGAGCGGATCACTGGGCGGCCGATCAAATTCGGACACAGACGTCGGCGGGATTTGCACCAAGCACAACCTGGACGATCGACACAGCATTAGCGACTCGCATCGCTCAACCGTTACCCTCACCAACGTGCGTCATGTAAAATGACAGCTCTTGTAAATAAACATCTGACTTGTTCTACTCTTGCGCACGATGGCAGCGATACGTTCAAGAGCTAGATTCCAATGTCGAAGTCTGCTACTGGCCACGATCAGAGGGCTTCAGAAGAGAGTTTGTCATTTTGCTCTTCGTCCATTGAAGGAGCGCAGACCATCGTGTGGGTTGCATGCTCACAATCGCACTACTGTGGCTTGTCTTTAACTTTTCGCATTGGCCTGTTGTTGATGGTTAGGCCATTCTTCTGGTGATCTGGCACCATATGTTCAACAAGCCTGACCCAGAAGGTTGAAACCGATCCAGAGTGTGCTTGCTTGCCTGCTTTAACAAATGCTGCTTGATAATATTGATCTGGAATGCCAATACACTGATGGACTAAAATCTTGTTGTTTGTACAAAACAGAGTTCTAGCTTATATTTGCTTTTTACCCATGACGCTCCACAAAAATGCGTAGTGAGTTTGTTTCACCAGAGTCTGGACCCCCACCATATAAATGTTGACATTTCTAGAATATGCTGATCAGGGCTGTAGCCCGGCAGCAGCGATCGCTGCGTGTGGAGGCGTGAGGTGATGCGTGGCCTAGGGGCTGTGTACTCACACACTCCACTAGGAAACTGCCGTAGGTTTTGGGCTTGTTTTCTTCGGCCCAGTACATTTCACATTTTCTCTGCAGGGAAAAAAAAACATGCTACCAATCACAACGACTGTGTACAGTGTATATTGTACAGTGTATATCGGTGGTCATGCAGTCTGTGGAGGCAGCAGTGAGGGTTGTTGGATCAGACACACACGCACGTTACGAAGCTTCATTCCTGTGGGCGAGCGTTGAGGAGGTGCTGCACCATTGGCTCACCAGGAGGTGGTACAGCAAAATGTGTGGACTAATCTCCATATGTTTCATCTGCAAGGGATAGAGCATTGCCCCCTTGCAGGTGTGGGTTTTCTCCAGGTGCTCCCGTTTCCTCCCGCACGTATGAACCCTCATTATCGGCTGAACACATCTTATTATCTACGCACCTCCATGTGTCGCGGATTGTACACAATTTTGAGATGCAGTGTGCGTGAATGTCGCTGATATAAACAAACACTCTTACGACTAGCAGCTTGCATGTCCTTGGACGTGGCCGTCCGTCCGTCCATCGCTCCCTCCCTCCAGCCAGCCAACAAAAGCTTTTTTGCTAATATTGAAAGTGCTCATCGTAGAACAAAGCCTTCCCTCACCCCCAACGTGGCCCCCGCTCCTCGTGCGTGACAACTCCCAGGGACGCCCCCTGCCCCTCCCGTCCCCCACCCCCTTGACCTCTGCGTGCTGGGCGGCGTGTGGCCAGCCAGCCAGCACATTTATTTCATAATGTAGTAGTACGATGTTATGACACTGCATTGCCGTGGTACGCCCTACATACAGAGCGCTCTGGTTAGAGTGCTGTGGTTAGAGCGCTGTGGTTAGCGCGCTCTGGTTAGAGCGCTCTGGTTAGAGCGCTCTCGTTAGAGCGCTGTGGTTAGAGCGCTCTGGTTAGAGTGCTCTGGTTACAGCGCTGTGGTTAGAGCGCTCTGGTTAGAGCGCTGTGGTTAGAGCGCTCTGATTAGAGCGCTCTGGTTAGAGTGCTGTGGTTAGAGCGCTGTGGTTAGCGCGCTCTGGTTAGAGCGCTGTGGTTAGAGTGCTATGGTTAGAGCGCTGTGGTTAGAGAGCTCTGGTTAGAGTGCTCTGGTTAGAGCGCTGTGGTTAGAGTGCTCTTGTTAGAGCTCTTGTTAGAGCACTCTGGTTAGAGCACTCTGGTTAGAGCGCTGTGGTTAGAGCGCTGTGGTTAGAGAGCTCTGGTTAGAGTGGTTAGAGCGCTGTGGTTAGCGCGCCCTGGTTAGAGCGCTGTGGTTAGAGCGCTCTCGTTAGAGCGCTGTAGTTAGAGCGCTCTGGTTAGAGCGCTCTGGTTAGAGTGCTGTGGTTAGAGCGCTGTGGTTAGCGCGCTCTGGTTAGAGCGCTGTGGTTAGAGTGCTGTGGTTAGAGCGCTGTGGTTAGAGCGCTCTGGTTAGAGTGCTCTGGTTAGAGCGCTGTGGTTAGAGCGCTCTGGTTAGAGTGCTCTGGTTAGAGCGCTCTGGTTAGAGCGCTGTGGTTAGCGCGCTCTGGTTAGAGCGCTCTGGTTAGAGTGCTGTGGTTAGAGCGCTGTGGTTAGAGAGCTCTGGTTAGAGTGCTCTGGTTAGAGCGCTGTGGTTAGAGTGCTCTTGTTAGAGCTCTTGTTAGAGCACTCTGGTTAGAGCACTCTGGTTAGAGCGCTGTGGTTAGAGCGCTGTGGTTAGAGAGCTCTGGTTAGAGTGGTTAGAGCGCTGTGGTTAGCGCGCCCTGGTTAGAGCGCTGTGGTTAGAGCGCTCTCGTTAGAGCGCTGTAGTTAGAGCGCTCTGGTTAGAGCGCTCTGGTTAGAGTGCTGTGGTTAGAGCGCTGTGGTTAGCGCGCTCTGGTTAGAGCGCTGTGGTTAGAGTGCTGTGGTTAGAGCGCTGTGGTTAGAGCGCTCTGGTTAGAGTGCTCTGGTTAGAGCGCTGTGGTTAGAGCGCTCTGGTTAGAGTGCTCTGGTTAGAGCGCTCTGGTTAGAGCGCTGTGGTTAGCGCGCTCTGGTTAGAGCGCTCTGGTTAGAGTGCTGTGGTTAGAGCGCTGTGGTTAGCGCACTCTGGTTAGAGCGCTCTGGTTAGAGCGCTGTGGTTAGAGCGCTCTGGTTAGAGCGCTCTGGTTAGAGCGCTCTGGTTAGAGCGCTGTGGTTAGCGCACTCTGGTTTGAGCTCTTTGGTAAGCGTTGTGAGCTCACAACCCAACCAGAGGTCACCTCCATCGATTCTCCAGGAGGGATAAGCTAAGACTGGTTTGTAGGGAGCCAGCAGTTCTCATCCCATGAGGAGATTGGTTCGGTGATATTAATCTGGAATTTCCACAACAAGGCTCCCATATTCCCAATGCTCCTCAGGGAATGGGGGCGCCTGTTATTGCGTTCTTGGGTACTGTGCTCGCCCTGTTTTTGTTTACGTCTTTTATTTGTTACTGCGATAGAATCTCGTCTCGCGGGGGGCTCTGCTCTTCTGGTCATCAACTTGAACGGGGCGGCTTCCGCAACCTTTGTCACAGTCTAACTTCGATTCGGGGAGCGACTGCGCGGGTCGTCCTCCCTCCTCCCTCCTCCCCCTGCCACCACGCGGTCCCCGTGGAGCACACAGGCCTCAAGCAGCGCATCAGGAGAGCAAGCGCTGGGCAGAGCGTGGAGGAGACGCTCGCCGATGGAGACTCTGCACTACCACACGCCCGCTGTAGCGGCAATCATAATAAACTGCATTTATAAAGCGCCGTTCTTTCAAGGAACTCACAACGCTGCACATCACAAAATAAATAATGAGATCGTTACATGGGGGGGGGGGGGGGGAATGAAGTGTAGGATCGACTTTAGAGAACCGAACTCTCGGGAGAGTAAATGCATCTTGAGTCTTCAGGAAGATTGTTAAGCAGCAGCAATGTTACTGAATGCGATGAGGCGCCGTGTTGTACTCGCGGAACGCAGGGAACGGCACGGAAAAACACGTAAACCTGAAGCGAGAAATCACCTTGACAATCGCCAACCGATCAGGAACAGCCCATGGAGCCGACGTAATCCCCTCCTCTCCCACGATGCCAAAACAAGACCACAACCTCACGCCACATCCTGTGCGTGCACGTGCGCACGTTTGTTGTATAAGAACCACACGCACCGTGTACATGTGTGTCCACACTCACACACACTCACACACACAAGTGCGTGTGTGTGTTGTTGGGAGCGGGGAGCGGTAGTGCAGCAGTTAGCGCGCTGCGAACCCAGCGACCCGAGTTCGATTCCCCGCTCACGTCCACCAACACCAGTGACGATTATCTGAACCGGTCCTGGGCCTCTCCTCGGTCGACTCAGCCTCAAATGAGTACCCGGTGTGGTGTGTAAACATCGTCACTGAGGAGACAAAGGCAGCCGGACATGGTGCTGGCCACCCCACTCACCTCTTAATGTGCCGTACTGACCTTTAAAAGGTGCTCACTAACAGCAGTGGCCCCAACAGTATGTTAAGGCTACACGGGGGACTTTTGTCTTATTGTTTGGAGAGAGGTGGCACAGGGATTAGCACGCTGCATTATGAACTCAGGGACCTGATTCCCGCTCACGGCCAACACCTGTGACGATTATCTGAACTGGTCCTGAGCGTCCCCTAGAGCCACTCAGCCTCGAATGAGTACCTGGTATGGTGTGTATATATTGCCACTAGAGAGCCAAAGGTGGTCGAGCGTGGTGCTGGTCACCCACGATCTCGTGTGCCATGCCGGCCTTCGGGACTGTACCGGTCCACCCTGGGACAGGTGGCCACCACTTTCCCAGAGCGTGCACACCGCTCTCCTGCACAACTGCCCGAGGGGCGGTCGCAGTCGTGAGACGTTTCCCGTCACGCCAAACTGCAATGCGTTGATGCGTATACAGCGTGCCGTTTACGAGTGATTTTATTTCAATTATGCCGACGGTATAAAGGGCATCGTTATTATTAATATTTCCGAGCGCTCTGATCCCTGAGCTACCCTGCGTACACAGCCATTGTACTTCATCGGAAACCTTCTAGATTCACAGACCCTCTAAGGCAGCCTATCGTGGATTATAATCGAACGGGGAGAAATGTCTCCAGCCAGCCTTGTTACGGATCTCACACAAAAAAACCCCTTGGCCACAGACGTGGCACTGAGCCAACAGAGCCCTGGCACGCAGGAGGGTAATGCAGAACACCTTTCAAGTGCCAATGTGAAGCCTCACGACAGGCATCTGGTAAAGTGCTGTTGGGGGCAGATGGATCTGCTTTAGCCAGGTGTTTGCACTTAGGGTTCTGAGAATCATGAAGCTTCAATGGAAATTCCTAAAGCTCCCGCTGACATGATGCAGAGGTGTGTGACCCTGCCTCTGGGCTGTTTAAAAAAAAAAACGCAAGAAATTACAAATACAAATATCCCGGTAAATTCTACTCGCTGATAAAACGCTGCTCACAAGCGTGTGGATGCCGATAAGCGTTGAGTAGTGTGCAGCACGCAAGGTAATGGATGGGCTTACGCCCTCATTATGGCTCATCAGAAAACCACGGCCAGCTCAAGATTGACGCGAATAATTCCGAGACGAAAGTCCCAAACCCATGGATGCCACCACACAGTGCCATAGCTTCCGACCGAGATCTACCTCGGCCCGGCATGCCGTAGAGGTGGTGACGTCACAGGCAGTGGGTATGCGATACCAGTAGCTGAGTCGGCTTCAGTCGGGATAAGTTTCAGATATATATTTTTATATACTAAATGTTTCATATTGTTTGGCCTCATTTCAGATTCAGGTGACATCCTTGAGATAAAAATGTATAAAATGTGAATAAGTTTCAGTTATCTAGGCGCTAAATTCAATCGTCTTTGCTGAGCCAGTGTTGGCACTGGCATGTATTAGCTCTGTTGCTGGAGTGTCAGGAAGTGCAGCCTAGCGGGTCTTGGTGAGGCAGGAATTTCCTTACCTTTGCTGCTTCCACTTCCTGGCAAGCCATGACTATCACCTGGCAGGTAACAGAGTACACACACACATGCACACAGTGTCACCATCTGAAACAGTCTCGGCATGCATTTGAGTTTTGCGTGTTTGTCATTTGATTTTGTACATTTAGTATTGCTGCTGTGGTTCTTATAGCGCTTGGCCAATACCACAAATGAAGGCGCTGCTGCTGCTGTGTGTAATCCCAATTGAGTACCTGCGGCATAATTGTTTGAATTTGTCAAAATTGGGACCGGCACGCGATGGCCTACTCGTTTTGAATGACGTCACGGGATATTGAGCTTCCACTGTGCAGCAGACGGGAACATTATTGTGAGGTCCGCACACTGTAACGAATTATCAGGGGACGTAGGTTCGACACCTGGCCATGCATTTGATGATCGGGTGCTCACTACTTGTGTCTGAACCTGATCTGGGCCTCCCCTGACTCCACTCAGCCTTAAATTACTGTAATTATAATTAGGGCTGCAGTGCATAAACATCAGTATTCTAGAAGCAGGGGCAGTGAGACTTGGTCCTGGCCACTAATACCCTTTTTCCACTGGCACACCTGAGCTCAGCCAGCACGGGGCTCCTACGGTATGGGTGGTTTTTCCACTGGCTATTTACCGTGCCGAGCCAGAACCAAACTGTGCCACGATGGCCTCACGAGAAGTCTGACTCTGGCTTTGAGCCAAGCAGGGCCAGAGGCGGGGTTAAGGGTGCGTTCACTGCGCGTGGCGTCAGTCGGTACGCCGTGGGGGCACGGCGTCGCCGCATTGCTTACACCTGTCTCGACTCGTTCGCTGCATGCGATGTCAGCGGCACGACTCGTATTCTGCAGTGGAAAAACAACCCTGCTCGTCCAGAGCTGTGCTGGGATGGCTCGGCACGGCCGTGGACGCTGCTGTAGTTACATCGATCAATGCTGCTAAGATGATGCTTCCCCTTTACATTGTTTTTGAAACCAGTTCAGAGAATAATTTGTGTATGTAATCAAAACAAAAGTATTCACCTGGGACATTATAAGTAACGTAATCAGATGACGCACTATACTCTTTGGTTCTATTGGGTAAAGTCACGTAGGTAAAAAATAAAATAACAAAGAATCACGACGTTTCGGCCACAACACAAGCGGCCTTCATCAGGTGAAGGGACGAGACTGTCTGGAGGACAGCGCTGGAGTGAAAAAAGCCACGCTCAGATCACGACCTTTAAGCTGTGTGAGAAGAAACGAAGCGCCTTGACAAAGGAATTAGCATATAATTTAGCATTGAAATGGCTCATTGAAATAGCTAAGTTAAAGTATACACATCCGCAGAGGCACCCCTTGACAAAGGAATTAGCATAGAATTTAGCATTGAAATAGCTGAGTGATTAGCTTGTAACTGGTCACAGAAATAGCTATGTTAAAGTCAGAGCATATACATTCACCGAGGCACCTAGTACAAATCAAACAGGAGAATTTAGCGAAACACAACCACGCTCAGACCGCGGACCTTTAAACTGTGTGCGAGCAAACAAGGTGTCCTGACAAAGAAATTAGCATAAAAATTAGCATTTGATTGGCCGATTTTAGAAAAGAGGTGGTGTACGTGCCGGTGGACTTGCCGTTTGGCGCGGGGGGGGGGGGGGGGGGGAGTTTACCTATAGATGGTGTGGAAAGGGAATTTCTAAGAGCTGCGAAAGTTTGGGGTACCACTACTTGAAAAATATACTGTACCATTGAAATTAGTTTAATGTTTAGTTCGATTTAGAACATCTTTCCAATGGTTGCTTAATTTGAAACCATCTTCTCGGTTGAAATTGTGTCTGTGTTTGTAGATCTGAATTGCCTCGTGAACAAATCTCTGATAAAAACTCGTGGGTTTACAAAGAACCTTGGTATCGGAGAAAATTATATCGTGATCACCCACAGCGTTGTAACAGTGATCAGCCATGGCAGAAGAATTCGTTTTGCTGTGTTTCAAATCTGATTTGTGCTCGCGAATTCGGTCAGAGACATGTCGCTTTGTCTCACCGATATAGCAATCACTGCAGGTACAACTCAATTTGTAAACCCCGGGGTACTGTAAGTCAGGAATGACATCCTTCACGGATGGGATCAGATCACGAATTTTGTGTACTGTATTGAACCGGACCTGGATCGTGTGTTTGTTTAGAATTTTGGAAATCTTTTTAGTAACGCCTGCTATATATGGTAGTGTGATGGTTTTGACCAGAGTATCAAGTGGTTGTTTCTGTATGGAGGGAGAAACAGCTTGGCGGATGGTACGGTCAGAGTAACCATTCCTTTTGAGGGCCAGGTGTACATGTTTTAATTCACTGGTCAGGTGGTGTTGGTCCGAAATGCAATGAGCCCTATGGTATAAAGTTTTGATGAGAGAATTCTTTTGGGCTGGGTGGTGGTGGGAATCAGGTTTCAAGTAGGAATCTGTGTGGGTGGGTTTCCTGTAGACAGAATGCCCCAATGAGCCATCAGGTCTCCTCTCAAACAGAACATCTAAGAATGGTAGCTTGCCATATTTCTCCACTTCCATGGTGAATTTGATGGCGGGATGTCTGGAATTGATGTGGTGTAGGAAAAGGTTCAGAGCTGGGAGGCCATGTGGCCAAATTACGAAATTGTCATCCACATATCTCTTCCACAGGGAAGGTCTGCGGGTGGAAGTCTGGATGGCGTCTGATTCAAATTTCTCTTCTTCTGCCGTGGCTGATCACTGTTACAACGCTGTGGGTGATCACGATATAATTTTCTCCGATACCAAGGTTCTTTGTAAACCCACGAGTTTTTATCAGAGATTTGTTCACGAGGCAATTCAGATCTACAAACACAGACACAATTTCAACCGAGAAGATGGTTTCAAATTAAGCAACCATTGGAAAGATGTTCTAAATCGAACTAGACATTAAACTAATTTCAATGGTACAGTATATTTTTCAAGTAGTGGTACCCCAAACTTTCGCAGCTCTTAGAAATTCCCTTTCCACACCATCTATAGGTAAACTCCCCCCCCCCCCCCCCCGCGCCAAACGGCAAGTCCACCGGCACGTACACCACCTCTTTTCTAAAATCGGCCAATCAAATGCTAATTTTTATGCTAATTTCTTTGTCAGGACACCTTGTTTGCTCGCACACAGTTTAAAGGTCCGCGGTCTGAGCGTGGTTGTGTTTCGCTAAATTCTCCTGTTTGATTTGTACTAGGTGCCTCGGTGAATGTATATGCTCTGACTTTAACATAGCTATTTCTGTGACCAGTTACAAGCTAATCACTCAGCTATTTCAATGCTAAATTCTATGCTAATTCCTTTGTCAAGGGGTGCCTCTGCGGATGTGTATACTTTAACTTAGCTATTTCAATGAGCCATTTCAATGCTAAATTATATGCTAATTCCTTTGTCAAGGCGCTTCGTTTCTTCTCACACAGCTTAAAGGTCGTGATCTGAGCGTGGCTTTTTTCACTCCAGCGCTGTCCTCCAGACAGTCTCGTCCCTTCACCTGATGAAGGCCGCTTGTGTTGTGGCCGAAACGTCGTGATTTTTTGTTATTTTATTTTTTACCTACGTGACTTTACCCAATAGAACCAAAGAGTATGAATCCTAGCAGTCACGAAAGCTTTCAATCTAGAGGTGACGCACTGACAACACAGCATTACCACTACTTGTCTTTCGTGGTCTCATTCGTGCAGCTGTGTCTCTACCTTGATGCCGTACTCCCAGATCATCCTCCAGAAGTCGATGACCGTGTGAGCGAGAGGCCCTTGAGTGGCAATGTAAGTGCGGGGCCCGTTCAGACCCTGCGGGACCACACGCGGGCGGCGCGTGGAGGCGGGATCACGCGCACGAATTACAACTTCTCGTCAAGGTCACAGCGACTTCCGACTCAAATGAGCATCGAGGCGGCACTCATCTCCTGTTTCCAACCCTTCAGGCAGTGATTGAAATTCCACATTCCTATGGCGTGGGGTGAGTCTATCCCTAGGCCAACCATTGTTTACATTCCCCCCTTATTTTATGGCACTCATTCCATCAACCCTGGAGGGAAGATCGGCTGAATCATCCCCCAACCAGGATTTGTAAACCAATGCTAACTGGCATCCTGATGTACCCAGTAATAATGAAATATATTTGGGAAATAACCCTACAATTTTATTTTGAGACGTCTCTTAATGAAATCACAAGACCCACTGAATCATTCACCGATGTTGACCGTTCGGCCTGTTATGATGAAGCAGCACGAGGATGAGTAATGCACTGAATGTCAGCAAAGCAAATGCCCCTTTCTAAAACGCACGATTATTCACTGAGGGTGACAGCTGACCTGGAGAGCACGGAAACCTGTTGAACGGAGCTTATTTGCGGTTATGATGGCTCGCGAGAGAGGCCTTGACGGATCGCCGAATTTCAAACATGGTAGGCTATGTCTTATTAATTGCTAGATGAACGCCTCCCCATCCTGTCCCCGATAGTCGTATTAACGTCTTGTGAACGATGTTTGTTTTCACCATCAATCTACAAGCAAAGCGCTGGAAGACGTTTATCCATAACTCCACATTTACAACTTGAGAAACAAAAGCAACAATTAGCATGTGTAAATGGTGATAAAACCCATCACAAAGATTTACTGATTTCAGTTACTGTTGCAGTTAGGCAGCACTGTGGCACTCTATAAAGATACGAGCCCTCTCCATATATGGGGCTCCCAGAGGCACACGGCAGCAGTGAACATGACTGGTGAGTCCTAATGAGGACGAAACCGTTCTTCAGGTGAGCTTTGTTTCACCACTGTCTGTCAGGACAGCCACATTTTCTTAACTCCTTGAGTTGGTGATCCAACAACAACAACAGTGGCTTCTGAGCTGGCGGTCTGGACAAGGCTCTGGAACACGCGCTGTGCACCTGGGCGCGTTTTGGTAAAATCTAAATGATGCCAAAGCAGAGAAACTAGGGCAGGGGTCGGCAACCTGCGGCTCTGGAGCTGCATGCGGCTCTTTAAGGACTGCCTCGACCGTCTTGTATTCACATTGCATTGTGGCTCTTGAATATTCAGGGATTTTTTTGTAACAAATTAAACTAAAATGTCTCTTCTTGTTGTTTTTTGGTTGCCGACCCCTGAGCTAGGGTGGTGAGGCCCTCCCCGAGTGCAGGGCCATGGCGGTGAGATGGTGGACACGGGGGGCTACCACTGAGTCCCGTGATCGGGCTCACCTGAACAAAGTTCGCGTTGATGTAGTCAGACGTGGCCTCGTCGGTTTGTAAGCTGAGGACAACTCGTGAGTAATCGACTGCAGAGACATGGCAGAAACACAAAGACACACGCAGAAGTCATGCGCTCAGTGACGTAGCTCTCGTTTTCTTGATTCAGGCCTTGATACAGGGCTTGTTATTGGCCAGGGGCCTGATGAAAGAAATTGTTGGTAAATTCTAAGATAATTTAATGACAAGCAAAGGTGGGGCAAGCATTGCATGTCCAGAAGCTCTCACTCAGCCCTAACGAGACCACTAGTTCGAAAGAACTGAACGCATGGCTCGTTTTGTCGTCGACGCCACCGACTCGGAGAGTTGAGAAGACGCGGCCGTCCCAACAGGTGGTGGCAAATTGGGGGTTCTCATCATTTATAGATTTTAATGGCGTGGGACCTGGCAGGGCGGCAATTGCAGTAAGAGCCAGAATGGCCATTAAAACATTCAAACATTGTAAAGGCAATGCCGGTGTCCTTGTCAAGTTACGAAATCACCTGTGGACTATTTTGTGACCAACTTTGACAACTGACTTTACGTGAGGGCCTGATCACCTGTAAAATCTCTCCTAACCTTACGACGCTTTACTGAAGTGCCTTGTGGAATTGGAGTTACACGATTTATTATTTTGCACCCCATTTCGCTTATTTGTTTTAACGAGTGATAACTGTGGCAGTCGAAAACAAATCGGAAGCTGGGATAAGGAATCCCATCTGGGTGGATAAACCGCGTGCCACACATTTAGATTCTTTCATATATTATATCTGATTCAATTTTGCCGACTTCCCCACGGTGGCACACAAGATTGTGTAACTGCCAGAACGTGTTATAAGCATTATCGATGGTAAAGTTGTAATGTTCAGAAGACTCGTGGCTCACGTTGGGGGAACTGACATCGGAAATATTTCAATCCAACATCACCCTCCTCTTGTGGACATGTTGACCTCCTCTTGTGGGCATATTGACCGAAGCAGTTTCCAACCAGCATGCGTCTGCTGATGGAATGTTGAACTATGTCAGACCCGGTAAGGAGGTTGCTCGCATTGAACTAATGCTGCTGGAATTATGTATGAAACTATGTTTAACTTATTTTGCACCATACGTAGCCAACCGTGCTAATTAGATGTGCGGGGGGAAGGACAACAAACTAAACACAAAAACCAGTTCCAAATAACTTAGTTTTCAATCTAGATATAATAGAGCATAGCTCCAATGGCTTCCGAATATCAAAAGAACGTTCCAGATTTCTGCAGAAACGCATCTGAAACTACGCGATGCAGTGACGTCTTTGTTCGATGGCTAGCTGCGGGGATGACCGGAGTTCACGCGATGGTTCATTCTCCTTGACAAGATCAGCAAGGTATTGTGATTCTTATGGCAAGCACTTCGTGTGTCATGAGTGCGACCTTATTACATATTCATTCGGCAACTGGAAGCCAATGTAGATCGGCGAGCATTCCTGACGTCATCAGGAATGGGACACAATTTAAGATTCTCATCGTCGACGAGGAGATGATGATGAAATCTAGCAAACGAATGACAAACTACAAGAGGAACAAAACGCGGGAGCAGAAGTGACACACAAGGAACTATTTTTCAAGCTGCTGATTATCATCACACTGCGCGTCAAATATGACGACCGTATTGCGCAATTCACACACTGCAGGGACCGGCACAATGTTGACAAAGGTGCCCTGTGTAGCCTTTAGCAGACTGTCAGGGCAAGTGCTGTTCACGAATAGCACCTATGAAGGCTGGCATGGCACACCAGGGGGTGGGTGGCCAGTACCATGCCCGGCCGCCTTTGTCTCCCCACCGCTGATGTTTACATACCTCACCTCTCATTTAAGGCTGAGTCGACCTGGGGGGGGGGCAGGACCGCTTCAGATATTCGTCACTACTCTTTGGTTCTTTCGGTAAAGTCACGTAGGTATACCTGTGGATTCCTGCAGTCACGAAAGCTTCAAATCAAGAATATTCGTCACTGTAATTGGTTATGAATGGGAATCGAACTCTCTGGGTTTGTAGCGCGGCTCTCTCAGAATTACACTACCGCTTCCCTTTAAAGAGTTTTACTGATACAACATTGCCCATATGCAGTACCGAAGCAAAGCGAGGGGCAGGCAGGGGGTGCCTTAGACCCCCCTGGTGGGTAAAGCTACAAGTTGGGGCCCCCTTGACAATCACAATGAGATATGGTTTCAACAAGACTACAAAAGAAAAAAATAATTATAACACGGTTTAAAATGTATTTTTTTTTATTCTTTCATTTACGTTCCACGTTTAATTTTAATTTCATTAGTGCAGTAACTTTTGGCCGCAAATTGTGCAATGCACGTTTATTTCTACGTTGTCATTACAGTGTCACCAGGTAGACAAGAGCCTCACTTCCCGGTTGGGGCGAAAAGGAGGAACGTACAAGGTGGGAACACTTTGTTCTAACGGGGTGCGCGCTTGTTCACTGAAAGCCACGCCAGTGCTGTGTGGTGAACCAAAAAATTTATATTTGAGCGCTCCAAACCAGCGGATGCCAGAGTGAAGTCCGAATCCATTGCCAACGTGTGGTGTCACCGTGCGATACAAATAAAATACTGGTGCCCCGCCTGACCGATTGCCACACTCCCTGAGCTGATAACATGATGCAACACAATTTTTGTCCCTGGGTAGGAAGTGTTATTTTGTAATTGATTATGCCAAAAAAGCCAAAAAAAGTATAGACAATGGCTTTTATCCCCCACAAACTTTGCTTTTGTGACCAGGACAGTGATATTTTGAAATGTACCTATTTTCAATGAGAAAACGGGCAAATTTGTGTCTTTTCGTTCAGATAAAGTCAGAAAAAAAGAACATATGAATCAAAATTAACACGTATTATACTAAAGTAATACAAAAATTACTCCAAAAGATTTAGAAGTGAGTAGTTTTTCGAGATTTATACTGTAAATCACTTTCACGAATCAGCCCCCAAATGTCGTCTCCCATCATGTTCTCGTTATACTGTCCTTGGTAGCGGCGTTCAAAGTCCAGTATATCTTCTTTATCTGTGGTCCGATGAAGACAATGGCTTTGACCTTTGCCTCAGACAGCTTAGGGAAGAAGTCTTGAAGATACTTGAAGGCTGCCGACTCCTTATCTACAGCACTGACAAATTGTTTTATAAGGCCCAATTTGACGTGCAGTGGTGGCATCAGCACCTTCCGGGGGTCCACCAGTGGCTCCCACTTGACGTTGTTCCTCCCCATAGACAATTCGGTTCGCTGTGGCCAGTCCCGCTTGTGGCCGTGTGCCTTGGTGTCCCTGCTGTCCCAAAGGCAAAGATAGCAGGGCAACTTGGTAAACCGCCTTGGAGACCCGTCAGGAATGCCACCATTTTGAAGTCTCCGATGACCTCCAGCCATACTCATCATACTTCAAGGCGTCCAGCAAAGTCTTGATGCTGTTGTAATCCTCTTTGAGGTGCACCAAGTGAGCCAGGGGAAGAGACGGGTACTTGTTACCATTATGGAGCAGCACGGCTTTGAAGCCCCTGGATGAGCTGTCAATGAAGAGGCGCCACTCATTCTGGTTACAGGTGATTCCGATTGCTTCAAAAAGACTGGTCACATTGTGGCAGAAGCAGAGCCCATCGTGACGGGTGAAGAAGCTGCAAAAAGGTTGGTGATGCTTCCTTTGATCTGTGACTTGCACACTTTTATCCAACAAGTTCCACTGCTTGAGTCTAGATGCCAAAAGCTCGGCATTGGACTTGGTGAGACCAAGATCTCTGATCAAGTCGTTGAGGTATTTTTGTTTGGGGTAGTATGGGTTTCTCTCCTCAACTCCACCTCTGAAATTGTCATCTGGATCTACAACGTCTTCCTCACTCTCTGACTTGCTGCTCTCTTCTTAAGACAGTTGATCTCTCTCCGGAGAAGTGGGTACAGGGAGCTCATGGCAGTGTGGCACTGGGGCTATGGATAAAGGAAGATCCGGATACGTGATAGCAGGTGCATTCTTGCCAGTTCGACGTTTGGAAGGGTCCACCATGCAGAAGTAGCAGTTGCTTGAGTGGTCAGTGGGTTCCCGCCAAATTATTGGGATAGTGAACATCATGACTCTTTTTTCCCCTCTGTACCATCCTACAAAAATACATTTATTTCACCCATGACTAATGTGCAACATTTTTTATATATGATATATTTTTTCAATAATATTGAAAATTGTAAAACATTTTAAAATTAAAAACTTTTACAATTTTAAAAATTTCAACAAATTTTATAACGTTAAATTCCGAGCAACAATTGTCCATCTTACCTTCCAGAGTTGTTTTGCATTGCTCGCAGGTGTAATGAGGTGCCCAGGGTTTGTCTCGATCCCTCACAGGCATGCTGAAATATGCCTTGTAGGCCTCACACATCTTAGCAGATGCTTCCACAGTACTTTTTCGCTCTTGTCTTGATAAATTGGCCACAGACATAGCAAAATGCGTCTGCCGGATGCTTGCAGCCTCTTGATGCCATCTCAGAAAAATGCAGATATGTATCCACTTAGGCAGCTGGAACTAAACTGAACTGGTGGGCTTAAGGCCCCTGTAATTATACTCCTTTATTTATATTACTGAAAAGTTCTAGAATGTTCTAGAAGTTACTCCAAGTTTTATCAGCACTGAATCTATCTGGAATGTTCTGGAAAATATCACTGTCCTGGTCACAAAAGCAAAGTTCGTGGGGAATAATAGCCATTTTCTGTACTTTTGAGGCATAAGCAATTTGGAAATAACACTACCCAGGAACAAAAAACAAATGTGTTACACAATGTCATGTCGTTACTACGCCATTGCCCATACACTGTACATTACAGAGGGTGTTACGAGTGCAATGGACCAGCTATCCAGAGAGGTCACCGGTTCAGTCCGATCTTCCAGCGAGACGGTTGAGAGAGTGGGGCAAATTTCTTAAATCTCCACCGCGCAGCATGAACAGGAGGGCCGAAGTTCCGGCAGCAGGTTGCGTGTGGTGGGGGAAAGTGTGAGGTACTCCCAATATATTCCAAGACGTCTGGCCAGTGTGGAAGAGTAGGCCAAATACCTTGTTAGATGGCTTCTCTCGTACAATTTTCTCTTGGAGGCACATCGCTATGTTGCTTCTTAAAAAGGAATAGTTTTTTTTTCCAAAAGTGACTCTTCTACTCTGCCCTGGCTCACCCCTCTGTTTCATCATTCTAATCCCAGTTCATCATAAGCAATCACCCTCGGTACACGTGTTCTGCATGCAACACCTAGAAATGATTAACACCGTTTATGGTGACAGAACAGCTGCCGCTCTGAGATTGCACAAAGTAACGAACACAAAGCAGAGCGGCAGCCAGCAGGAAGGGGGGCGAGGCGCTCTGAGCCACCGGGGCAATGTGCAGCAGCAACACTTGAAAGTTTTTTCATGCAAAATTTGATCGGAGAAATTCAAGTGTAAACACGAACGGGCAACGTCACGAATAAACGCGTGAGAGTTGGGGCTCATTTTGTGGGTCATTTTGAAAATATGAATCCAGGAAATACAACGTCGTGGGACAGCGTGAAACATGGCAGTCAAATATAAAGTTACACCATATACAGTGTGGACGCTGGGTAAGAAGTGCGTCATACGATCGGGAGATCAGAGTGGTACCGCTACGGAGAGTCACCGTCTTCTTGAAGGCGATTCTGAACAACTGGACCCCAAACACGTCGTATACATTCGTCGTTTGTTTACTCCGGGGTTAAAATCTTGCATCCTGAGCCCTCACCCACATGAAGGGGCCGCCGTGGCGAGATGTTTACTACCTCGCCTGGTATGCCGGAGGACGTGGGTTCGATCCCGACTCTGAAACCTGTATATTGGAGTTTGCATGTCAATCCCCCCATGATCGCGTGGATTTTTCTCCGGGTCGTCTGGTTTTTCCCTCCACATTTAGAATCAACATGCTTTCAGAATATATGGCTGCTGTAAATTTCCACATGATAAGCCACTTTGTTGGGCGATCATTTATGGCCAAGCCGCTTCTGAAAAAGAGCTTAGTAGCTAAGTGGGCCTCACATGGTAAAATAAAATACAGTACGTGGGCATACGACGCAGCTCACTCCAATGATTGCTTTAAAATACAGGGGAAGAAAAAGTTCCTTTTACAACCTGAAAAATACACAGAGTCTATTTCTACAGAAAATGCGATAGCAAATTACTGGAAAATTAACTCCAGAAGATGATTGAATTTAACAAATGAAGCTTCCGCGTAGAGCTGAAAATAAACTCGAGTCAACACGTTCAGCGACAGAAATGGTGGTGAGGGACACGGCTAGTAACCGACTTGGCTGTCACAATGCCAGCGTAAAGAGTAAAGGAGCTGTTGTCGACCAAACTCGGGCACATTTCTCGCGTTCGACTTTGCAATTCAATCATTGCTGACCATGGGAATCCGGCGTTCAACTACAGAAACTCAACTTCCTTATAGCTGTAATAAATATCGAAAGAGAAGTGCGAGTGCGAGTTTGTTTGGATCGTACTTAATTACTGGTGACTTGTGTTTGCTTTGTTGAATTTCATTTTTCCACTTTATTTATGTTCATAAAAAAAGTAGTCATGCTTTGTCTATTTTTGTTATGTTTTCGACCAGTTCCCTATTCCTGTAACTTGTGAAGCACGTTCTTATACTCGCCGTTTGTATCGCGACCTATGCACCCATGTTGTACCGAAGATCTATAATGGTCAACATTCGTACCAACACCCATAATATAGAGCCCAACAGCTTAACGGGCCCTTACTGCTGAAATAAATAAAATACATCTATCTTATCACGCAGCACTCAGTCTATTATCGAAACTGTGCAGTTTACTGGTACCAGACTTCGGTACAAATCAATTCCTGCCTACCGAACACAGACGTCAATTCCCGGACCGTATGCGGTTCAACCTGGACACGTGGCAACTCTATAAAGACGCCAATGCAGTTGATACAACTCGTGAAGCTTTGCTCTATGGCTCTTAATTATTTTTAACGATCTAACGTGCCGAATGAGTGTAGCACGTTGTCATAGCAGCCAAATCTAAGGGATTTTTAGTCTGAATTTCTGGAACTTACCCCTACGAGGTTTGGAGTTAGCAGTCTCAAACAGAATCGTCGTGTGTCTAACTGGCACTACGTTTGGTTGTGAGAATTGTTCACGCATTTTTTTGCCCAGTAAAAAAAAATGACAATTATCTCGTCGTTAAAGCTTCGAGCGCCCTTTAATCTTGTTGGCCGTGTCGGGTGGTGGAGGGTCTTGACGATACAAATTTGGTCAGATGATCACGTAGAGTGGCCCAACCCAAATATCTATGAAGAATAATAACACATTAAAATATATTACAACGGAAACAGGAAATGTGCTGTGTGGTTTCAGCGGCAGTGGAAGTCGGTGGCGCGACATGGTGTTCTCGCCACTCACATGGGAGGATGTCCTTGTATCGGTTCTTCTTGCTGTTCTCCGGGAGTTCGCCGGCCGCCGTTGGGAAGGAGCGGTCATTGCGATGCTTCACAGACTTGCGCTTGAGTTTCTGCAGGAAAACAAAACAAAACAGCTTCAATAACACACAGGAGGGCGTGTGCAACACCGTGTGAACAACAAGTCCTCGGCCTTAAGCAGGCCATCAGCGCAAAGGAACTGAACGTGTGGCCATTTTGTGGATTTAGACCATGAACTCGAAGGGCTGAGAAAAATGTGGCCGTCCCAACTGGCAGCAGCGAAACAAAGACAACTGTGTGACCGGTTTCATCCTCATTACGGGGACTCTTTTGGCACTGCCTAAAGGCAACGGTCATTCACATTTCTAAATGATAAGAAAAACCCATCACATCACAATGACCAATGCAGGCCGGATGCAATCAGATTTAACAACACACGGAGCGGTGTGCAGAAGCTCGGCCTCATCCAGGCCACCGGCTCAAGAGCAACGCAGCACCTGGCAGGACCTTCCTGAGAAAGAGCCGTGAACTCAGTGAGGCCTCCTAAGTAAAGAGAAATAATAATATAAAATGACACAGGCTGTTAGACGTTGAACAGAATGGGCATCGTGCATTCTGCTCTGGCGCTCACCCACGCTGTGCAAATGGAGAAAAACCTGCGATGCCCATTGCTTAATTCTATGCAGGTTTACATTGCACATCGCCCAAGCCTGGCACTGCCCCCATAGCCGGGGTTGACCGGGACAGTCCGGTAATTGGCGTCCATGTCTGGGTGGTGGTAGGGATTGATTTGCGCTGAGATCCAGTGCCGGTGGTGCTGCGTTGAACTTTATTACAATGCAGTTCTAATACTATGCCTAGGCCCACCGCCCCCCATCTCCCTCGTCGTAGCCTGGGCCCCTGTGGCCCGTGGGCCCAGGTGCAGTTGCACCGCCTACATAGTGGACAGCTATGCCGCGCTAAGATCAAATCGTTGCACAGAGGGAAGTGCGATGACGTGCCGACGAAGGTAGTCACGCACGCTGGGTGGTCACGCAGGTGGGGGCAGACACACGTCATGCTCGGAGGTAGATAAGCTGGGGAAGCAGGGCATCATAAGAGGCAAGGGAATTATTAGAAGCAGAGTATGCTGGGAGTGATACCGTCTACTTTAATGTAAAATGTATAGAGCGCCTTCACTCAAGGTGCTTGACAATGTTTAGAAAACGATGACGAATATAATTACTTAGATGGCAGGAGCGTGCAAGGATTTAGGAATGAATGACAGCGATATAAATGTCCTTAGACATCACGAAATGGTAGGGGAGGGATTGATTGCTGCTTCTGCTGTGTGTGGAATCCCAATTGAGAAACTTGCAGTGTAACTTTTTCAAATTTGGACCATCACGCCAGCACAGAGTGGCCTACTCCTGCGAATAACGTCACGGGATCTTTAATGTTCAAGATGAGGCAGATGGCGTGTAGTAATATACCTGCAGAAATAACCATGGTGGCCTGCCAGTTTCAAACCACGAACCTCTGCAACAAGCAGCAAATACGCTAAAGCTGGGCCGTGTCAAAGGTCAACAACACCACCACCACCACCACAACACACACAAGGTGATTTCTACACATTTATGACCATATGAATAGTCCTCCCATCATGCATTGCATGTCACATGACATCACCATACTGCGTGTATAACCATTGTTTCAGTTTCAGGGGGCACAGTCCGGAACGTCGTTTTTCGGGAATTATTTTGGCACCCAGCCACCCACAGCCACCCCGATCTCCTCTGCCTCGTTGTGTCTGAGGATTATTTAAAAAGGAGATACAACATTAAAAAAAAACCATTCTGGTTAGGTGCATACCTTGTGCTCTCGTGGTAGTCCCTTCAATCCCTACTCTTGAGCCATCCCGAGCAGCGTTCAGGAAAATACTGTGTGAGACATTAACCCGTGCGTGTGATGCAACGGCGTTGTTTTAGCCCAACAACATTCTAAACATTGGGCCTCATCATATTTTAACATTGCTTCCAGAACTCACTTTCCCAGTGGCGACCACGTGTTCCATTTGACTGCACCCTGCCCACGCATTGCCTTTCCAATGGGTTCCCCGTCGTTCAGCGGGAGCGTTCAGGGTGGTCTATTGTCGCTGTTTTGCGACTCACCAAGGTGAGACTTTGCCCAAAAAACTTTGCCCCATCAAGATTCCCCCCCGGGCCCAGGCCTCACCGACGCCCACGCAGTAAACTACCCGTCACGGGCTCTCCGCTTTCACCGCAGTCGCGTCATCGTGCGACCACACAACACCGGCGTGTTGCCGATCAACGTCAAATAAACACTTGCACGAACTTGCACCAATGGCTTAGAGCACCATCACGACGATCATCATCATCATTGTAGCGGCCCTCGATCTCAATTGACTGTGCTGAGGAGTGGCTGTGCGCTAAGAGCTCGGGTGGGCTGGACGGCCTTACGAGTGGCTGGAGGGAGAGAGGTCCTGGCGGTCCCCGACCCCGACCTACAATCATCATTGTCAACAGCCACGACCTCTGCAGTGCTGCGGGAAACCTTTCCGAAGCCGTCGCCATCCCTCATGGCTAGTCCACGAAGCCACAATCCATATCACTCCAGGGTATGGACCAATTTAATCGTTCCATCTCCTTGTTCCCTCCTCTGGCTGCCATTCCATCCATCGTCGGTCTCGTCTGGCAGCTGTCATCTCACACAGCGACCGCTCCGGCCCAGGCCCAAAGGATTTTCTTTACAGCCAACATGATGCCCCTACCCTCCAGACAGAACAGTCTGCTGCGTTCTGTGGAGTGCGTCCTTCCAACGGTCGTTCCCACTTGTTCGGCCACCTGATTGGCCCCGCTTTTTGTTTTGCTCGTATTTCTCTTGAGTCAGACTCCGTAGCATCCTCTCTGTCGAGTTCCTCAACCATGTCCTGTCATCCATCTCCGCTGGAGGTTAGGTGATCGTGGCGTCATCGGAGATGGCAAATACTTCCCTGTCCCCCCCATCTCTGTTCATGTCTTTCTTTCTCCGACCCAAGTTGAAGAAAATATCTCCGAAATATTTGGCGAATGGCCTCGCATCTTATTGTCTGGCTCCTTTTTCGATTTGTATTTTGTTTCTCTTACGCGACCTCACGGAAACTTGCAGTCTCACGGTGAATCGATCGCATATGCTCCTAGTGGACAAAGTCCAGGCAGAATGATGCTGGGTATTCGTTAGCCATTATGGTGTCAACTGATTGGAGACCAAGTCCGTGGTCAATGTTGAACTTAAACTTTCTCAAAACAGCTTACTCTCATGTTTTGTTGACCTTTGAGTTGTCCATAATGATGATTATTTATTCAAAACACGGGCGTCAACGCGCTGCACAGTGTCCATACAGACATCGAATGGGGAGGCAGCTGGAGCCGTCGCTGCCGGCGATTTGCCCAAGCTCTGTGGTCCTACATTGGGATGTTTGACCAACCTCCTTTAAAGACTGCACCATAGAGCTCAATGCATATCCGACCAGGAACACATAGCCAGGGAACTCAAGCACGTACACCAAGCTCTTAAGGCTAATGGTTACTCCGACTACACAATCCGCAAAGCTATCACTCCAACCATGAAGAAGGACCCTCTTGAGGAGCCATTCAAAACCATCACTTTACCCTACATTGCGGGGATCACAAAAAATATCTCCAAAATCTTGAATAAACACAAGATCCAGGTCCGATTCAACACATTACATAAAATCCGTGATCTGGTCCCGTCTGTAAAAGATATTATTCCGGACATACAGTACCCTGGCGTCTACAAACTAAGTTGCCTCTGTGATAGTAGTTACATTGGAGAAACCAAACGACATGTCTTGGACCGCATCCGTGAACACAAAGCAGACCTAAAACACGGTAGGACTAACACCTCGGCCGTGACAGATCACTGTTATAATTCAGTAGGCTCACATGACATTGACTTCTCCAAGACAGAGGTTATCTGCAAGCCATCTGGCTACCATGAGAGATTCGTTCATGAGGCTATCCACATATACAAACACAGAGACAATTTCAACCGAGAAGATGGATTCTGGCTTAACAATCATTGGAAGGATATGATAAACCATTTCGGGTCTTAATTGATTGTTCACGCTTACGGTGGCATTCAGACCACATCCATTATTTTCGTCTCCCCCCTCCTCTTTTCTGAACATAGATGGACTCGTCCATCTGAACAAACTGTCAAATCGCTCTCCGTGGTGCTAACGTAAAAAAAACGCCACTTTTTTCAAATTTTCTTGCTGTGGTTTTCACACCTGATGATGATTGCTTGTGTTGCAGTCGAAACGTCGTGATAATTTTATTGTTTTATATTTTTATTATTTTATTGTTTCCCTTCTACATGACTTTACCGAAAAAACAAAGACTATGAATCCCTGCAGTCACGAAAGCTTGAAATCAAAAGTATACGAATGCTTTACGAGCGTGCTGGCGAGGCGACGATCTTGTTCCAGCGACGCCGACACGGACACTGGTAGGGCGCGAGCGCGGTTGTTGGCGACCGACCTCTTCTTCCCCAGAGCCCCTCCGCTTTGTCTCCACTCCCCTAATCTACCTACTCTATCCCCCCAAATTATACCTCTCGGGGTCTTCGATCCAAACCCCCGATACCCCCTTTTCCCACCTTCCTTGCACAGCACCCCCTTTTCATTCTCTCAATGGCGCTGCGGTCCCTCATCCTTTTTGTGACATCCACGCTCAATCCGAACGCTCCCCCACGAACGCTACGCACTGATGGATTTGACATAGGAATGTGGAAGTTACTGCCACTGGTTCACGATTGCCAGCAGAGATGAGCCTCACCACGTTCACGTTTTGAGGTGGTCCCACGGTGACTCGGCGTTAGCGCGATTGACGCTTGTCGCATAGGTGCACGGTTGGAATTCAGCAGACACCCTGGTTATTACTGTGGGGGTATTCACGGTGATAATACAGTCTGTTCACCAATAACGCCGCGTGTTGTTTTCATAGCGCGAAATGGATATAACGCGATGATCGTATTTGGGAACACTTTTTATAACGCGAATGCAAATTGGAAATAACGCGATTGAGCGAAC